CCCCCCCCCCCCCCCCCCCCCCCCCCCCCCCCCCCCCCCCCCCCCCCCCCCCCCCCCCCCCCCCCCCCCCCCGCCACTCCCGTCGGAGAGCATGTCCGGGGCCATGAATAGAAACCCAATTGGGGTCTGGTCAGATAAAGTGCAAATAATCCATCCATCCTATCAAGCAGAGAGGTCGGTCGTATGGCAGCACGCAATCCGTCCATGATCGCCCGTGCGTCGATTGGCAACAGGCAACTAACTGGATGGTCCACATTACACACATGCATGTTGACACCATAGCGCCGTGATGATGAAGTCATGCAGCGAGAGGATTGACATTGATCTGGTCCACGGCGACTCTCACACATGGCAAAGTCCACATTGCCATGGAAAACCGTCGATCAGCACACGTAAATGTATATGGCGCTGATGTGGGACAACAAAAATCAGGATTGCTGCCGGAGAGAAAGGTCCTCCCTCCTCTCGCTTGTCGCCTTGCACGATGACTTGCACCACTGGTCACTGCGAGCAATGGAATGAAGCACAGACTGGTATGTGGCGCTGGGACCACCTTTGGCACTGTCATGTGAGTCTGGATTGGAAAACATGGTACAAGGTGGCTGGCTGGCTACACGGCTTACAGCATGAAGACCAGGCCCAACCATCTCCACGAGCGCGCACTACGCCTCACGCCTTAGGCCTTCTCCCCAGACTCGCCCCCACGCTTCAAAGCAGGCCGTGACTTCTTGAACAGAAAGACCAGGCAGATGGCCAGCCCAAGCCCCGCCGTCCCCAGGCCTATGTACAACCCGCCACGGAACCCCTTGAGCATGCCCGCCTTGGTGTCCTCGGGCCCGTGCACCTGGCTGTCGACGGTGCCGGCAAAGCCCACGCCGAGCGCGATGCCGTAGTTGACGCACGTGTTGACCAGGCTCGCGCCGATGCCCTGGTGCTTCCGCCCGACGGCGTCCGACAGGATCAGCGTCGCGGCGGGGAAGCTCATGTCCATGCCAAACGGCATGACGAGCATCGACACAAAGATCTGGCCCCAGTACACTTGGTCGACGGGCGCAAAGGCCGTCAGCGCCACGCCCGTGGTGAACGCCGCGAGGGCCATGGTCATGACCAGCGCGGGCCGGACCTGCCAGGGCCCCAGCAGCTTGCCCGTCACAATGGCCGCGCAGGCGCCCGCAACGGTGACGGGGCTGAACCACGCGACCGTCAGCAGGGGCGAGAGGCCGCGCACGTTCTGCAGGATCTGCACCAGGTACAGCGTCCAGATGCCAAAGGTCGCCCAGCCGCACGCCACCGCGCCCAGGACAAAGGCCACGTCCGAGTTGACGGCCGAAAAGGGCAGCAGGGGCCGCGCAGCGTGCTTGAACTCGACAAGGGCAAAGACGCCAAAGAGCGCGAGACCCAGCACCAGGGGCACCAGCACCGTCGCCGTGCCCCAGCCAGAGATGGGCGCCTGCGTCCACGCAAAGTTGAAGAGGACCAGCGCGACGACGCCCGCCAGGGCACCCGGCACATCGAGCGTCGCGCACCACGCCCTGAGCCCCGTTGGGAGGACGCGAGCCCCTGGGCATGGCGGGACGGCCCAGGCAGCGATCACGGCGAGGACAGCAAGGACAATGGCCATTGCCCAGTTGGCCCAGGGCCACCAGGCCAAGGCCAGGAGAGACCCAAAGACACCGCCCAGGACGGCACCGATGGGCGCGACAGCGCCAAAGAAGGCAAAGACCATGGCCTTGCGGTGGCCCGGCGGGTAGGTGGCGCCAAAGATGGCCAGCGCGTTGGGCAGGCAGATGGCGGGCCCCATGCCCTGGAGGACGCGGGCAAAGACGGCGAGGGTGTAGTTGGAGTAGACGCTGAGACCCGCGACGACGGACCAGAGCGAGAACCAGGCGTAGCCGAGGATGAGCATGCGCTTGTAGCCAAAGATGTCGCCCAGGCGGCCGGAGAAGAGGATGAACGTGCCGACGGTGAGCGAATAGCCGCCCACGAGCCAGGCGAGACGGGGTGGGCTGGTGATGCCAAAGGACTCGCCTATGGGGCGGAGGAGGACCAGTGTGCCCAGGTACGCGGATTCTAGGAGTGTGTGAGTTGGAGGGTCATGACGGATGGAGGCCGCAGCTTGGACTCACGGGTGAGGAACTGGGCCATGCAGACGACGGTGACAAAGATGGCCTCGCGCGGGAAAGACATTGTCTGCGCGACCCAGATGGAGCTTCCATGGGACGCGGCGTTGGCGAGAATCTCGCCTTGATTCTCGCCTTGGTTGTTGCTGTCATGGTCGAGGGCATGATCGTGCGGACTCTGAGGAGTGTCGTCCGCAGGCGTTGCGACGCTCTCATGGGCAACCATTGTCGCGGACGATGAAGTCTTCTCTGTGGATATGGTTCGTTTCCCACCTTGCCAGTCGTCAAGTAAACAGATAGGAGGTGTAAAGACTGATTCTTCGTCGGGTTCGTGAAGGGGGAAAAAATCTGCCTTGTCGATCCAAGCCTGGAGACTGCGACTAGAGCGAGGCGGCCTGCCGTTCTCGGCCGTGAATGGGCGAGGATTAATCAGATTTGATTCAGCTCGCGTTATCAAGCAATCAGTCATATATGACGAGCCATTTGAAGAAACGCCCCGTTGCTGTTGTGGGTTGATGAATAAATAGCGTATCCACGACTTTAAGTGCCGGCGTCCCGCGCGCTGATCTGTGTCGGGCACGCAGACCCGGATACCTAAAGGGTAAGCAGATCCAATAGGCTCAAGGGTAGGCAAATACGAGGCGGAGACCAAATTGGGAAGTCTGAAGATCGGTGAACCGAACCGAACCCCCTTTGGACATATAACCCACCATATCTCCCCCCCAACGGCCCTCATGGCCCCCATGGCCCCCAGGTGGAAGTTCGAGGCCGTCCCAGACGTCTTCAAGGATCTCTCCGAGCTCCAGACCGATCCAAAGGACAAGGTGACGACCCAGCCTGGCCTCGGTCTCCTCTCACGCTCCTACCCCACCGATGACATGCACGAAAAAGGGCAGCAGGAGGAGAGTGACTGGACGCGTCTTGTCCGCTACGTCGCGGCCTTGAACGGCGAGGCCTCATCCGACGTGCGGCACAAGGTCCTCTACCTGACGCGACACGGCGTCGGCTACCACAACCTCAAGAGCGCCGAAGTGGGCGAGGACGCGTGGAACGTGAGTCCTTCCGCGCTCGTACGAAAAGGAGCGCCAGCTGACGGGAACTAGAATCACTGGTCGCTCAAGGACACAGATGGCGTGACCACCTGGTTCGACGCCTTCCTCGCCCCCGAGGGCGAGACCCAGGCCAGAGAACTGAGCACATTCTGGTCCGCGCTGACGACGTCGGCGGCCCATGGGGCACCCCTCCCGCAAAGGGTGTACACGTCTCCGTTGTCGCGGTGTCTCCAAACGACAGAGTTTGTCTACGGGCCCCTGTTTCCCAAGGCGCAGTTCCACCCTATTATCAAGGAGGATCTGAGGGAGAGGTGGACGTTGCATACGTGTGACCGACGACGCCCGAGATCGTGGATCGCGGAAAACTGGGAATCCAAGGGGTATGTCTTGGAGGCTGGCTTTACCGAAGAGGACGAGTTGGCCAAGAAGGATGAGAGGTGCGAGAGTGACGCGGAGCATGGCGCGCGAAAGCAGCGTGCCCTGGAGGATGTGTGGAATGCGGATCAGGGCGACGAGTTTGTTGCTCTCGTGTGTCACTCCATGGCCATCAGGGCCATTCTCGCTGTCGTCGGGGCCAACTTGTTCAGGGTGCGGGAGGGTTCGAGCATAGCGTTGCTCGTCAAGGGCACAAAGATGGGCTAGATGGACATGTCCGGCCATACAGTTGAACATGTGGAATCGATAAACTATAGAAGTATCAAGAAATCTTCAGACAAAAGAAATAAAGTAAACAAATACCCCATCTACTCAGAAACAAAGAAAGAGCCCAGCTTGGCATCAGGCTCCTCGCACAACCGCGTCAAGATGCCTTCCAGCTGGTCATACAGCCTGTTGATCTCCTCAGGCCCCACGCACAGCTTATTGTACGTCGTGCGCCAGTCGTACTCTTCCTCGCCGAGCATGCACTGCACCGCAATCAGCGTCTGCGTGTACCCGTCCGCCATCTCCACCGACGAGAACTTGTCCTCGTCACTGACAATGATGGCGTCCGACAGGTCCGCGTTGGACGAGGAGTCCGCCTTGGCTGGCTGCAGCGCGATGCGGTTCGTCGGGTGCGTCAGCGTCGAGGCGACTTCAGGGCACAGCTCGGCAAGTTTGTCTGTGCCAAAGTGCTCGTGGGGAACGCTCTCGGCCGCCATGAGCTGCAGGTTCGCGAGGTATTCTGTGACGGACTGATCCTTGGGCAGACCCACGCGTACGGGCACACGTGCGGTGGTCAGACCGGCGACGGACTCGAGACCGCGCAGGGGTGCCTGGCGACCGGACGACGTGTGGGTGAATAGGACGTCGTCTCGTTGGAGGTTGATGCCGAGGGCGATGGACCAGGCACCCGTCATGAGCGTAGCAGTGGTGACGGTGGAGTCCGGACGAGCAGGTAGCGAAAAGCAGCGACGCAACATGGCCGTGATGCCCGTGGTCGGTGTCCCTGCGGGCGGTGGGTTGGGCCAGATGGTCTCCTGCGCACCCTCGAGTTGCCTGGTCCAGTACTGGGCCGCAGCGTCCATGTCGATGCCGCGCGAGAAGCGGACGAAGCCAGAATACGGCTGCAGGGCCGGCGGCGGCACGCCGTAGTAGAACTGGTGCATGGCGCGGACGACGAGACCCATGGTCCAGCCATCGCAGACGGCGTGGTGGTGGATCCAGACACAATAGTCGTGGCCGTCGTCGCGCACAATCGCCTGGCGAGAGAGAGGCGAGCCGTAGGTCATGTTCATGCCTTCGTTGGGCGGAAAGCGCGACGCAACGTACGACCGCACCGTCTTGTGCCCAGAGGCGTCTTCCCACTCGCAGGGGCCCTTGAGGACCGCTTGCTTGGCCACGCCGTCGACCAGGACGATGCGGGTGCGCAAGATGGGGAAGTGCTGCACCAGCGCCTCCCAGGCTGCCCTGAAACGGGACACGTCGACGTGATCGGGCAGACGCCAGACGCGGGCGGCCATGAAGAGCCCAGGGCCCTTTGTGGTTGTCTTGACAAAGGCAGCCTGCGTCGTGTGCGTCGGGAACGCGTCCTCGAGTGCCGGGAGGCTGGGCAGGTTGCCCTGCTTCTGCACCTCACGCGCAATGACCTCGATCTCGTCGGGCGAGTCGAGCAACTCGAACGGTGCCACGTCCAAAGTCTGGTACTGGGTGCCGCCTGTGGTGGCCAAGGCCAGGGCGGACAGACGCGAGTCCTTGAAGATGGTGGCGACCGTCAGCCCGAGATTGTGCTCCTGGGCCATGGAGGCCAGTTTGATGGCGGTCAGCGAGTCGCCTCCGATCTGGAGGAACTCATCATGGCGTCCGACCTCTTCGGGCTTGAGGCCTAGGATAGTGCACACAAGAGTCTGTAACTTGGCCTCGGCCTCGTTCTGGGGCTGCACCTTTGTCTCTCTGGCCGAGTAGTAGTGACGCAGGTCCTCGGGAGAGAGGCCATCCGTCATGGTCTTGAGCGTCTTGCGGTCCAGCTTCATCGATGCCCCAATAAAAGGCATCTGACGCACCGGGAAGACAATGGTAGGCACCATGTACACCGGCAGAACCAGCCGCAGCTGTCTCGTCAGTTCCGCGCGGAACTCCTGCATCTCCTCGCCCAAGGGCAAGAAGAGGCCATCCTCCTCTCCTACATCGTCCACCTCTTGCTTGAAGCTGACGTACGCTACCAGGACCTGGCGTGTGTCCAGCTTCACGACCCCGGCAGCAGCATACTCGACCTTGTCAGAAGCCTTGATGATGCGGTCTTCCACCTCCCCGAGCTCAATGCGCTGACCACGGACCTTGACCTGCGTGTCAACGCGACCGTGGTACTCGAGAGAGCCGTCGGCATTGTAGCTGACCAGATCGCCCGTCTTGTAGAAGCGCTGGTGGAGCTGGCTGAGCGAGACAGGCATCCAGGTCATGGGGCCACGCAGAAAGCTGGCCTTGGTCTTGTCCTCGTCGCCAATGTAGCCACGAGCGAGAGCGCGCCCCTGGATGAGAAGTTCACCAACACAGCCAACGGGCGAGAGCTTGTTGTGGTCGTCCGCGTCCACAATGTACGCGCTGTGCGCCAAGTACTGTCCGATTGTGGTAGGCGAGGCGTCGCGGGACGTCCACTCGTGGACGGCGCTCATGATACATCCCTCGGTAGGTCCGTACCCGTTGAGAAGGCGGACCTTGCCGCACCAGGTCTGGATGTTATCCTTGCCGGATGCCTCGCCGACAAGTTGCAGCACCTTGAGCGTCGGGACCTGCGCGGGATGGACGGTGCGCACAAACGAAGGACTGAAGAGCGCCACGTTGGTGCGCGAACGGGTGAGAAAGTCTGCCGTGCTCTGCAGCCTCTCCGACTCGGCCGCCATGCAGAGCGTGCCGCCATTACCGACGGCGGCCCAGAGCTCGAGGATGGAGGCGTCAAAGGCGAAGCTGGAGAACTGCATGCAGCGGACGTCCTCGTTCTCGAGCGCGTACACGTGCACCTGGCTCATGAGGCTCGAAAGAACGGGACCATGCTCGATCATGATGCCCTTGGGCTTGCCAGTGGAGCCAGACGAGAAGAGAATGTAGGCCGCGTTGGCGGGTGTGGTACGGTCCTGCAGCTGAGAAGGCGACCCGGTGGCCTTCATCCTGCTGATGGCATCGAGCGAAACCTCGACAATGGTGGGAACAACGCCTCTAAAGTCGGCGACGTTGTCGGGCGTGACCACCATGTGCTTGGCGTTGACTTGGGCGACGATGTCCAGGCGACGCTCGATGGGATGTGCCGGGTCGAGAGGAATGAAGACAGCGCCCGACTTCATGACACCAAAGAGGGCTACAATGGCCCACATTGTCTTGTCGAGACACACGGGAACAGGTGTCTCGCGGCCGACACCAAGCTCGACAAGGTGAGTAGCCACCTTGTTCGACAAGTCGTCGAGTTCAGCATAAGTGAGTGAGCCAGCGGTGGTGAACACGGCCTCCTTGTTGGGCATGCGCTGGGCTTGTTTGCTGAAGAAGCCGTGAAGAGTATCATCGACAGTCTTCGGCTCGTGTTGGTTCCAGGAGGCGATCTTGTTCTGGTCCCAGGCACCAGCAACCTCGACCTGGCTCAAGGATCTCTCTCCCGCAACGCAGAGCTGGCGAACGACATGGCCGAGGTGGTTCGACAAGGCCTCCACACGGGCGTCAGACAGAGCTCGAGCGTTGTAGACGAGGGAGAAATCGACAGAATCGTCGAGAATGACACCCTCCACCACAAGAGGGTAGCTGTGGTAGCCATCCATGGCATCGCCTAGCTTCTCAGAAGCAGAGCTCACCATGGCTTCGTCCCCATCGCTCCCCGTGTCACCGCCCTGAGCAGGCTGCGCAACAAAGAGCGTCTGGAAGCTGGTGGCTTCCTTGACCTCGTCGCCTAGCTTGGAGATGTTTTGTAAGCCAAACTGTTCGTACGAGGTCATCTCAGAGGCTTGTCTCTGCACGCCGTGCAAAAAGTCCCTGACGGACTGCGTGCCGTTCAGGCGGACCCGAACGGGCACTGTGGCCAGAGCAGGGCCAGGCATGCGCTCTAGTCCTGCCACGGGCGCGGTACGACCGGAGACGGTGGTACCGAACGTCACGTCGGCCGTCTCCGAGTAGCGTGCGAGGACAATGGCCCAGGCAGCCCTGACGACGGAGGCGCGCGTGATGCCTTGCTCGAGCGGCGTCCCAGGCCAGGGCACGCTCCTGGCGACGCGACGTGTGATGCTCTTGGTGGAAGCCTCAGTCTCAGAGGCCTTGACCTCAGGAGGGAACGAAGCGCGCTTGGCGCCTGTGAGCTGCTCCCTCCAGTAGTTGGCAGCCGCATCATGGTCCATCTTGAGGATATGCCGGATGAAGCCGGAATAGGGCACCATGGGGGTAGGAGCAGCACCCGCATAAAAGCTCCGCAGGTTGTTCAAGATGAGGCCCATTGTCCAACCATCAAAGACGGAGTGGTGGCTGGTGAGGATCAGGTAGGTGTCCTCGCCTTCCGTGATGAGGGCATAGCGACTCAGGCGAGTTCCATAGCCCATTTCGAAGAGGCTGGACGCCTCAATGAATGCCTTGACACCCATATCGCCCGTCTGCTCCCAGGCAATGTCGTTGGAAACGATGACTTGAACAGGGGCACCGGCGACATGGAGCATGCGTGTCCGCAGGTTGTAGCATAGGTCGACTGTCTGCTCCCAAGCCGCCTTGAAGGTATCAACGTCAATGTGCTTGCCGAGACGATACACGTGCTTCATGATGTAGGCTCCAGGCTGCTTGAGGGTCAGGGCCATGAGTCCAGCCTGGAGAGGGGTGCAAGGGTATGCGTCCTCAATGATGTGACGTTGGTCCAAGATGTCGATACGCTGGTCGGCTTCCGCGAGAACGAGTCTCTTCCGCTCGCTGTCGAGCAAGGAGAATGGCGAGACCTCCTCGATGACACCGCTCGTGCCCTCGATGCACTTGATGGCCAGAGTGGAAAGTCGTGGATCAGCAAAGATATCCTTCACGGAAAGCGACAGACCAGCGTCACGAGCTAGCGTCACAAGCTGGATGGCAGCGATAGAATCACCGCCAATACGGAGAAAGCTATCGTCTCGGCCGATGGATTCAGGCGCGATGTCCAGAGCTTCCGACCACAGCTTTTGCATTCGCGTCTCCATCTCCGTCTCGGGTGGCCTCTTGTCGGCCTCAGCCAAAGCATAAGCAGCCCGCTCCTCCTTGGACAGCTCCTCGGTCAGTGTCTTGAGCAACTTTCTATCCAACTTGCCTGATGCCGTGACTGGCATGAAGTTACAGGGAATAAACATAACCGGGACCATGTAGGAGGGCAAGCTGACGGCGAGTGTACCGACGAGTGCCGTCACGGCGCTCTGCAGCTCGGATGTAAGCTGCTCAAAGGGCGACGACTCGGAGCGGCGGCCCGTGAAATCGTCGTAGGAGAAGTAGGCAACCAGACTAGCGCCGGTATCAGATCTGAAGACATCGACAGTGACCTGCTGGACGCCCACGAGAGCGTTCTTGATGTGGTATTCCACCTCACCGAGTTCCACGCGTAGACCACGGATCTTGACTTGGGTATCCTTGCGTGAACAGAACTCAATGGTGCCGTCGGCATTATACGAAGCGAGGTCACCAGACTTATAGAAGCGATTCCAGCCACGCTCGTTGTGACGAGGCGCCCACTGTGGCAGACCCTCGAGAATGGCCTCGGCCGTCTTGTCAGGGAGACCAATGTACTCCCTCATGATGGTGGGACCTTGGATGACAATCTCACCGATGGTTCCGATGGGTGCGAGACGAGTAGGATCGTTAGGCTCGACGATCCACACGTACGCTGCGACGGGGCTACCAATGGTGCCGGGCGTGCTGTTCGGGCCAACCTTGTGAGCTGTGTTGGCGAAGGTGGTCTCAGCAGGGCCCCAGGCGTTGACGAGCTGGACCTCGTTCTTCCAGGCGTCGAGAATCTCCTGCGTGCAGGCTTCACCGCCGACAAGCAGGAACTCGAGAGACGGGACGTCCTTGGGCTTGATGCCGCGAGCAAAGGCGGGTGTGAGGAGTGCCCAGTTGATCTCCCACTTGTTGATGTACTCGACAATGTTGTTCATGCGCGTCTCATCGTCGGGAACGTACAAACAGCCACCAAAGAACCAGGTGCTGACGATCTCCGCGACGGAGATATCAAAGACGTGCGAGCCAAATTGAAGTGTCCGAGCCTTGCCAAAAGGCATCCGCAGAGTGTTCCAAATGTTCATCTGACTTGTGCACAGAGAATGGTGCTCAATAACGAATCCCTTTGGCGTGCCAGTGCTGCCAGATGTGAAGAAGACGTAGACAATGTCCTGGGGGGCGACGGTTACAGACGGTCCCTTTTCACCGGCGCCAGTGCTGGCCTGGAGTTGTCTGTCGAGGGATGTGCCGACGACCAGCACACTCCCTGCGAGACCAGCCATGGGCTTGAAATTGCCAGGAGAGACAAGGGCTACCTTGGCATGGACCTGGTCGGCAATCTGCTGCTTACGAGCAGGTGGGTGTGAGGGATCGACAGGCACCCAAGCACCACCGGCCTTATTGATGGCCAGAATGGCCACCTGGTACCAGGCAGATTTGTTAAAGCAGAGCATGATCAGATCACCGACCTGCACACCATAGTAGTTTGCAAGATGGTGCGCTAGGCGGTTGGCAGCACGGTCGAGCTCAGCGTACGTGAACTCGCCGTCCCAGGAGCGCACAGCCCAGGCTTCAGGCTGGCCACGGGCGACGTCTTCCACCATTCCGTGGAATGTCTTGTCGTGTACGTCAATCGTGTGGCTGTTGAACTCGTGTGCCTTTCGAACGTCCCATTCACCTGCGACGGCGAGTGTAGACAGAGGCTCGTCGCTTTCAGAGAGGAGCTGCTGCACGACGTTGGCGTATTGCTCTGACAGGGCAGTCATCTGGTTCTCGCTGAGGATGTCGGAGTTGTAGGTGAGCACGACGTCAACACCACTGTCAAGGATCCGGCCTTGGACTACGAGCGGGAAGGTGAAGTAGCCTGCCATGGCCTCCTCGACGCTGATCTTCTCGGTCGTGTCAGGCATGAGCAGCGAGTAGGCGTCGCCACTCATGCCGGCGAATTGCTGCGCAGGCTGCACGGCCAAAAGTGACGAGAAGGAGGCCGCCTCCTCAGCATCACGCCCGAGCCTGTTGATGTTCTGCAGACCGTATTGCTCATATGGAATCATCTCGAGGGCCTGGTTCTGGATTTGTTGCAGGTAGCCCGAGATGGTCTGCTGGCTGTCGAGACGGACTCGAATGGGCACCGTGGCCAGCGTCGGACCGGGCATCTCTGACAAATTGGCAACAGGCGCCTGTCGGCCTGACACTGTCGTGCCAAAGGTGACATCCTCGTTCTCACAGTAGCGGGCCAAGACAACGGCCCACGCGGCGCGCAAGATGGTGGCCTTGGTGATGCCACTGTCCTTCTTGGGCAAGTCAATGTTCTTGACGAGAATCTTGGCCGTGCTGGCCGACTCGCTTGCGCCCGACTTGGTGGTGGTAGGAGGCCAGCTCGCACGGGTGGCATCCTCGAGCTGGTTGCGCCAGAACGCCTTGGTCTGCTCCTCGGGAACACTCATAACATACTTGACAAAGGCAGCATAAGGGGCCAGACCAAGGTCTTCGTCTTCTTCCCCATAGTAACAGGAGAAGAGGGTGCGGAGGACGAGCTGAGAAGACCAACCGTCGTAGACAGAGTGATGAACCACCCAGCAGAAGTAGTTGGCTTCGGCCTCGCGAACGAGCCCATAGCGGCTGAGACGGCGACCATAGCCCATGGAATTGGCAGAAACCTCCCTGACGAAGGAGGTGGCGTCTGGTGAAGATGGCTCCCAGTGGACGTCGCCGCTGACAACAACCTGGATGGACTCGCCGCCCAGCTGGATAATTCTGGTCCGCAGGACTGCGCAGTGGGCAACGGTACGTTCCCACGCAGCGCGGAACTTGTCGGGGTCCACATCATCAGCCAGCTTGTAGACGTACTTGGCAATGTGTGAGCCAGGCTGCTTCTCCGCGAGAGCGATCATGCCCTCTTGCAGGGCGATGGTAGGGAAGGCGTCTTCAATTTCTTGATCCGCGTTGAGGCTGCACTTCTGGTGAACACAATCCGTCGACAGTATGACCTCGCGCATATCAGCAGGTAGCAAGCTGAATGGAGGAATGCTGTCGCTATCATTGTCGACTTGGACCGAGGAAGCCCTGGCGGCGACGCTACAAAGACGCGAGTCATCAAAGATATCCTTGACCGTGATGGAGATGCCACTCTCGCGAGCACGCGACACAAGCTGGATCGCCAGGATGGAGTCACCACCAATTTGGAGGAAAGCATCGTCCTTCCCAACTGTGGACTCGGGAATATCCAACAGTTGGGCCCAAATCTTCTGCAGCTGCATCTCAACAGACGTGTCAGGGATGCGCTTCTCACCAGCCATGAGGGCATACTCAGCCAGCTCTGCCCTATTGAGCTGCTCAAGACGCGAACGAAGACCGTTGCGGTCGAGCTTGCCTGACGTTACGACGGGCATATATTTGCAAGGCACGAAGAGCGTAGGCACCATATACCTCGGAAGCTTAACGCTCAACGCACTCACCACGGCCGTCAGTGTCTTTTGCAGGTCCCTATGCAACGGCGTGAACATGTTGGTCCCCTGCGCCGAGCCACGCGTGGCCTTGTCGAAGCAGAAGTAGGTGGCCAAAGTGGTCCCCTTGTCGCCCTTGAATACATCAACAGCGACTTGGCTTACGCCAGGGAGTTGAGCGCCAATGTGGTGCTCAATCTCGCCGAGTTCAACTCGGAGCCCGCGGATCTTGACCTGCTTGTCCTTTCGGCTGGAGAACTCAATCGTGCCATCGGGGTTGTAGGTACACAAGTCACCAGACTTGTAGAACTTGGACCATGGCTTGAGACTCGTGCGAGGCGCCCATTTCGGAGGTGTCGGTACCAAGGCTTCGGCGGTGCGCTCGGGATCGGCCAGGTACTCTCTTAGGAGATTAGGACCCTGGATAACGACCTCTCCCAGGGTGCCGACAGGGGCCAGCTTCTGCGGATCGTTAGGGTCTACAATCCAGGCAAAGCCTCCCACTGGACGTCCGATGGTTAAGGGGCTATCTTCTATCGAGTTGAACTCGTGCATGATGGAGATGACACAAGTTTCGGAAGGCCCCCAGCCATTGAAAAGGCGGACGTGTCCGAACCAGTTCTCAAGCACATCGCGAGTGACGGCCTCGCCACCGAGACACAACAGCGTGACGTTCGGGACGCTTGCCGGTACGATAGTACGAGCAAAGGCAGGCGTCAGGAAGAGCCATGTAATGTTGGCTTCGTTGATGTACTCGGTCAAGTTGTTCATCCTCGTGTGGTCGGACGGCACACAGACGGTCGCACCCGTGATCAGGGGACCGACAATTTCGCCGACCGAGAAATCAAAGACGAAAGAAGCAAACTGCAGTAGATTGACTTCGGGTGCCAGGCCAAGGCGTTTGGCAAAGGCTGTCTGGGCGGTACAGACAGCCCCATGCTCCATAACCAGGCCCTTGGGTGTACCCGTCGATCCGGACGTGAACAGAACATAGATGGCATCCTCAGGACGCGCCTCAACATCCGGGGCGACATCTAAGGCAACATCATCGGCAAGCTGTTGGTCGAGGTGAGCGGAGACCTTGAGGACCTTGTCGACCAGCCTCGAGCAGAGCTCTAGGTTGTCCGCAGATGTGAGGGCGATAGTGGCGCCCGTTTGGTCGACAATCTGGCGCTGGCGTTGCTCCGGGTGCCCAGGGTCTAGGGGAACCCAGGCAGCACCGGCCTTGTTAATAGCCAGAATGGACACAATGTGCCAGATACTCTTCTCAAAGCACACCTGGACGAGGCCATGCTGCTTGACACCTTGGTCAATCAGGTGGTGAGCAAGGCGGTTCGAGGCCTTGTCGAGTTGGTCGTAGGTCATCACTCCATCATGAGCTCGGACAGCCATATCGTCAGGTCGGATGGCAACCTGCTGGGCAAAGAGGCCATGGAAAGTAGAGTCAATGAGCTCAGGGATCTCGGGGTTGAACTTGTAGGCCAGGTCAAGGTCCATGCTCGAGGCAACGTTGATATTTTTGAGGGGTGAAGCATCGTTTTCGATGAGCTGCTGCGTCACTTGGTCAAATTGAGCAGACAGAGCAGACATCTGCTCTTTGCAGAGGACATCTGAATCGTAGATCAGCTGTAGTTGCACGTGAGAGTCGGCAACCTGGCCCTGAACCACCAGTGGGTAGCTGAAGTAGCCCTCCATGGACTCGCCGGTCTCGCCATCGCCATCAGAGGCGGACGCATCTTCCGCAGGAAGAAGCCAAGCATCCTCCTCAGTCTCATTACCAACAGAAAACATCTGCTGGAAGGGTTGAATCACCAAAAGGGAGGAAAAGTCGGTGGCCTCCTGTACTTCAGGGCTGATACGGGCAATGTTTTGCATGCCAAACTGCTCAAAGGCAATCATATCCGAGGCCTGATCCTGTACGCCCTTGAGGAATGTGTGTATATCAGTCTCGGGATCAAGTCTGACCCTCACGGGCACCGTAGCGACCATGGGACCAGGCATGTCTGCGAGACCAACCACCGGGGCGTGGCGACCACTGATGGTCGTGCCAAACGTGACGTCGTCAGTATCGCTGTAGCGGCCGAGGACAATGGCCCACGTCGCCCTCAGAATCGTGGCCTTTGTGATGGAAGAGTCCGTGGTGCGGGGGAAGCTGATGGTCTTGTTCATCACACGCGTCCCGTTTCCGGACCGTACCTTGTTGGTGGGAGGGTAGGTGGCCTTCCTGGCGCCCTCGAGTTGGCTCGACCAGAAAGTCTTGGCCGTCTCGCGGTCTATGGACTGCACGAAACGGATGAAGCCAGAGTATGGCTGAAGATTAAACCCTTGCGTCCCCATGAACTCGGCATACAGTGTGCCAAGCAGCAGACGAAGCGTCCATCCGTCGTAGGTGGTGTGGTGCACCACCCATGTGAAGTAGTTGTCACCGCTGGGCTCTGTTATGAGAGCGTAGCGGTTCAGGAGAGATCCATATGTCATCTCCACTGTCTTGGCATACTTCATAAACTCGCGGTGATTGTCCGTATGTACGGTTTCCCAGTTAGTGTCCTCGTTAACGATGGCCTGCACGCACTGGCCGCCCACCATGACAATCCGAGTGCGTAGGTTGGGACACTTGATCACGGTACGCTCCCACGCAGCCTTGAACTGGTTGACATCGACATTAGCGGCTAGCTTGAAGCTATAGCGGGCAATGTATGATCCAGGCTGTGTGGTAGAGAGCGCCATGAGACCCTCCTGGAGAGAAGTGCATGGGTACGCATCGACCACGGATTGAGAGGGCTTCAGACCAGCCTCCTCACGAACTACCTTGTCAATGACCGACGCGGGCATGTTCAGCAGACCGAATGGCTCGATCTGCTGAGAGGAAGCATCGGCGACGTCGGTCTCGACTGTCCTCTCCGCCACGGCACACAGCCGCGAATCATCGAAAATATCCTTGGCGGCGACTTGCAAACCGTTCTCGCGAAGGGCGCTGACAAGCTGGATGGCTGCGATGGAATCGCCCCCGATGCGAAGGAAACTATCGTCGCGGCCAATCGACTCAGCGGGTATGTTGAGCAACTCAGCCCAGATGTGCTGGAGACGGGCTTCCGTGGGATTGGCAGGGCCTCGCTTCTCTCCATCAAGCAGGGCGTAGTTGTTCAGCTGGGCGTGTTCCAACTTGCCGGTCTCGGCGCGCAGCGTGTTCCTGTCCATTTTGGTTGATGTGATAAAGGGCATGAACTTGCAGGGGACGAAAAGTGTTGGGATCATATACCGCGGCAGGGACACGCTGAGCTTGCCTACAAGAGCAGACAGCTGGCGGTTTAGCTTGGCGTCGATCGGGAGGAACATGTCCTCATAGGTCGTGCTGCTGCTGGCGGTGCGGCTCTCATCAGAGTAACAGAAATATGCCACGAGATTTGTGCCTTTTTCTGCTCTGAACACGTCCACGGCCAGTTGCCGGATACCAGGCAGGTTGGACCGGACATGGTGCTCAACCTCACCTAATTCAACACGAAGGCCACGAATCTTGACCTGTGTGTCCTTGCGGCTGCTGAACTCGAGGAAGCCGTCTGCATTGTAGAAGCAGAGGTCGCCTGATTTGTAGAAGCGGTTCCAGTGGGAGTCGCTCGAGTTGGGTGCCCAGTCCGGCAGATCGTACACCGTCGTCTCGGCAGTCTTTTCAGGGTTGGCGAGATACTCGCGCAAGAGCGTGGGGCCTTGCAGGACCACTTCGCCGAGAGTACCGGTAGGCGCTAACTTGTGAGGATTGCCAGGCTCCACGACCCAACAGAAGGAGCCGACGGGCTGGCCGATTGTCAGGGGCGATTCGGCGGCACTCTTCCACTCGTGGAGGGTTGAGAAACAACAGGTTTCGGCAGGGCCCCAGCCGTTGACTAGACGCACAGATCCGAACCAAGTCTCAAAAACGTCCCTGGGCACGGCTTCGCCAGCAAACAACAGTAATTCCAGCGACGGAACCATGTCTGGCTTGAGGGTGCGAGCGAAGGCTGGGGTAAAGTATGACCAGGTGACCTTATTGTCACGGATGAAGTCCGTAAGACCATTCATGCGAATCGACTCTGAAGGGATGCTAAGAGTAGCACCATGAATCAAGGGGCCCACGATCTCACCGATAGATAGGTCGAAGACAAAGGCAGCGAACTGCAACATGTTCACCTCGGGCGTCAAGCGTAGTCGCCTGGCGATGGCTTTCTGACTCGTACAGACAGAGACATGCTCCATGACGAGGCCCTTTGGCGTGCCAGTGCTGCCGGAGGTGAAGAGAACGTAAGCAGCATCAGACGGCGACACCTTGGGGAGCTCCTTGCTTGGGGCCTCAAGGTTGTCCACGAACTCGGAGGTGATCTCGACAATTTGAGGCATGAGCTCACGGCATATCTGAGAGTTCTGGGGCGAGGTCAAGCCAAGCCTGGCTCCGGTTTGCGATGCAACCTGCTCCAATCGCTGACGAGGATGCGAGGGATCAAGAGGCACCCAAGTGCCGCCGGCTTTGTTGATCGCGAGGATGGACACAAAGTGCCATGCGGATTTCTCGAAGCACACGTGAACAAGATCACGGGGCTGTACGCTGTAGTCCGCGATCAGTACCGAAGCGAGTCGCTCAGCGGCGTCGTTGAAGTCCTTGTATGTGAGCTTGGCGTCCCAGGCGTTGATAGCGATACCATCAGCACGCAGTCTGGCCTGTTCGGCCACCATGTCATGGAAGGTCGAATTCACAATCTCGGGCACCTCGACATTGCTCTTCTTAGCCTGTTCAAAGTCCCAATCGCCAGCAACGGTGACGCTTCCGAGTTCACTCTCCGTCTGAAGAAGAAGTGAGTGGATGACATGCTCGGTCTGCTCCAGGATGGCGCTCATTTGTGGCTCAGCCACCAATGAGGAGTCGCAGGTCAAGTTCAGCGCAATCTTGTCATCGTAAATGATTGTCTGCATGACAAGAGGGTAGCTGAAGTAGCCCTCCAGGTTGCCTTCGGTAACATCAGAGTCGATGTCAGGGGCCAACAGCAGGGAGTCCGAGTCGCTTCCCATCTCAGCCATTCTCTGGAATGGTTGGACAACGAGCAAGCTGCTAAAATCACAGGCATCCTGTATCTCGGCGTCTAATTTCTGGATGTTTTGCAGACCATATTGCTCATAAGCAATCATTTCAGTGGCCTGTGACTGAATAGCATTCAAGAATGCAGCCACGTTTTGTTTACGATCGAGCTTGACACGCACAGGTATCGTGGCTACCACAGGGCCGGCAATTTCACCTAACCCTGGCACAGGAGCCTGTCGACCAGAGACCGACGTGCCAAAGGTGACATCGTCTGTGTCGCAATAGCGGGCCAGGACCATGGCCCAAGCCGCCCTGATTACCGAGGCCTTGGTGATAGACAGCTCAGGGGTGTCCGGAAGATCAATGATCTTGGTAATAATCTTCGTGGCCCTCGCGCCTTTGCCTTGCTTGGATGTTGACGGGAAGCTGCACTTTTTGGCATCCCGCAGCTGTCCAAGCCAGTACTGCTGGGCAGCCTCGCCGTCCATGTCGCGGGTGTATTTGATGAAGCGGTCGAAAGGCTGCAGGTTCATGCTGTACATCTCGGTGTAAGCATCAACGAGGGTGCCGAGAATGAGACGCTGTGCCCAACCATCGAAGACGGCGTGGTGAGCGGCAACAATGAAATGATGGACGTCAGAGTTAGGCTCCTTCACCAACGCATACCGGCTGAGGCGCGATGCCATTGTCATCTCAAACTGGTTCGCCCGTCGAATAACAGCTCCGAGGCTCAGACCGTCGGCTTCCTCCCAGGTCACGTCATCCTTGACAATGATCTGGATCGTTGTGTTGTTTGCGCGGAGGATGCGAACCCGAAGATTGCTGCAACGCCTGACGGTTTCCTCCCAAGCTGCCTTAAACTTGACAATGTCCACATTTCTTCCAAGCTTATAGACCCACTTGGAAATGTAGGAACCCGGTTGTTTGACTGCGAGGGCCATGAGACCTTCTTGCAAGGCTGTCACGGGCATGGCGTTCTCGATCACCTGGTCGTCTGACAAGCCACAGATGTCGCGGACAGACTGTGACAAAGCTACAGCCTTCAAGGCATCACTCAAAAGCTCGAATGGCCCCAAGTGCTCCTCGGAACCAGTGGCTTCGGTCTCGATAGCGGACTCGGCCACGGCAGATAGGCGAGGGTCATCAAAGATGTCCTTGACTGACAGTTGGATGCCGTGCTCGCGAGCGGCCGTGACCAGATAAATAGCGCTGATAGAGTCGCCGCCGATGCGAAGGAAGCTATCGTCAAGACCAATGCTGTCCTTGGGTAGATTTAGTATTTCGGCCCAGATGATCTGTAGACGCTCTTCCATCTCGGTCTCCGGAGGTCTCTTGTCAGCGTCGACTAGAGAGTATCCAGCTAATTCCTGCTGGGAGAGCTCGGCAGTCAGCTGCTTGAGTGTCTTTCTGTCAAGCTTGTGCGACGTGCCGAACGGCATGGAGCACATTGGAATAAAGACGGTGGGCACCATGTAACCAGGTAGGATAACCTGTAACCTGCCCACCATCTCGGTTACTTGTGCCTGTAGATCGGGCGTGAGCTCCATGAAGAGGTCGTCAGCCGTTGCGGACTGGCGCGTCTCGTCATTGTAGCAGAAAAAAGCCACCAGGGTCGCTCCGGCGTCCGACGATTTCAACACATCGACAGCGACCTGACGGACTCCTGGCAAGTTCTCGTGGAGGTGGTATTCGACTTCACCCAACTCGACCCGGAGACCACGGATCTTGATCTGTGTATCCTTGCGAGACAGGTATTCAATGGTACCATCTGGGTTGTATGAGCAAAGATCGCCCGAGAGATACATGCGATCCCAGCCCTCCTCGTTCCGTCGCGGTGCCCATTCAGGTGGTGCAATCACCGCAGCACGAGTCTTTTCCTCGTCACCAAGATACTCCCTCATCAAGGTAGGGCCTTGAATGACAATCTCGCCAATGGTGCCCACGGGGGCCAGACGCATCGGATTCTTGAGATCCACGATCCAACACTGAGCACCCAAGGGACGACCAATGTTGGCGGGCGAGTCGTTCTTTGACTGGTACTCCCAAAGAGCGGAGCACACAGTTGTCTCGCCAGGACCCCAAGCATTAACCAGTCGAACCTTGCCGAACCAGTTATCGAGGAGATCCTGGGCACTGGCCTCGCCACCGACAACCATAAACTCGACCTGCGGCATGTCCTCCGGGCGCAGGGTGCGCGCAAAGGCAGGTGTGAAGAAGAGCCAATTGATATTGTTGGCGTTGACATAGTCGACTAGACCATTCATACGGGTATCTTCCGAGGGAACGTGGATGGAGGCACCCAGCATCATGGAGCCGATGGTGTCGCTGACGCTCATGTCGAATACATAAGACGCAAATTGGAGCATGCGAACCGACGGAGTCATACGGAGCCTCTTCCACATGGCAACCTGGCTGGTCACGAGAGAACGATGCTCGATGATGTATCCTTTCGGCACACCCGTGCTACCAGAAGTAAACAGAATGTGGGAAGCAGTCCGTGGTGATATGTCTTTGACAGGACCGCTCAGACTCGTAGTTGTGTCTTGGGATAGTTCCTCGTCGAGCGCAGGGGTCACCTGGATCACGGTGTCGATGAACTCGGAGCAGGCTTGCTGGTATCTAGGCGAAGTGAGAACGACCTTGGCATCAGTGCATTCAACGATGTAAGCTTGGCGAGACTGAGGGTGTGAGGGCTCCAAAGGCACCCAGGTTGCGCCAGCTTTGCCAATGGCTAGCAGGGAGACTGTGTGCCAAGCGGACTTTTCCATACACACCAAAATGCGGTCCTCCTTGTGCACGTTGAGTGCTTTGACAAGGTAGTGACTGAGGCGGTTGGCAGTGGTGTTGAGATCAGCGTACGTGAAAAGCTTATCCCAGCCATTGACAGCAACAGCGTCGGGCTGAGAGGCCGCGTGGTCTTCAAAGAGCTCATGCCAGCAGCGGTTGATGACTTCGGGCGCCTCGCCTTGCCACTCGATAGCTTTCTGGAGATCCCACTCAGACGCGACGGATAGATCCGCCAGAGGCTTGTTGTTTTCCGGAACAAGTTCCTGAATGACGTGGTCGAAATGTTGACATAGGGCTTCGAGGCGCGCGGCGGGGATGACAGCCTCATCGTAAGTGATACCCAAGGTTGTCTCATTCTCTGACACGTAAGACTGGATGACAAGGGGATAGTTGAAGTAGCCCTCAAAATTGTTGTCGCCAGACTCTTCCTTCTCGACAGGGAGCAGGACCGCATCAGGGCTGTCACTCATGGCGGCGACAGGGGAAAAGGGCTGGACCACGAGCAGGCTGCTAAAGTTACAAGCCTCTTGCGTCTCTGAGCTGATCTTTGCAATGTTGTGCAGGCCAAACTGCTCATATGCAATACTTTCGGTGGCCTTGTTCTGCACACTTTGTAGGAACTCAGGGATGGTACTCTCCTCGAAACGAACACGGACAGGTACTGTCGCGATGGCGGCACCAGGCATGTCGCTCAAGCCCGGGACAGGCGCTTGGCGACCGGACATGGTCATACCAAACGTCACATCATCTACATCGCAGTAGCGAGCCAGGATAATGGCCCACGCAGCGCGGACAATAGTAGCCTTTGTAATGGACGCATCTGCTGACTTAGGGAACACAATGTGCCTGTGGACTGTACGCGTTATGCTCTTGGCTGGCCTCATGGTTGGAGGGAAAGTAGCTTGAGTTGCGCCCGCCAGTTGCGTGTTCCAGAACTCGCGAGCAGCCGCCTCGTTCATTTCGCGTGTGTATTTGACAAAGTTGGCGTAGGGATAGAGGGGTGTCATAGGAGTCCCGAGATAGGCAGACATCAGCGTCCTGACCACAAGGCTCATGGTCCATCCATCATAGATGGTGTGATGCATAGCCAGCATGAAATACTGCTTGCCCTTGTCTTGGACGATGGCGTATCTTGCGAGACGCGAGCCATACACCATCGGGGTAGAGCTAACTTCATCTTGGAATGACTTAATGCTCAGGCCGTGGTTAGGCTCCCACGCGTCGTCGTTGCCAACAAGAACCTGTAGAGTGGTCCCCTGGAAGGTGACAATTCTTGTACGGAGGTTCGTGCAGAGCTCGACGGTACGCTCCCATGCAGCGCGGAAGCGAGCAAGGTCCACCGTATCAGCAATGCGGAACATGACCTGCGCAGTGTATGAGCCTGATTGTTTGACGGCGAGCGCCATGAGGCCCTCTTGGAGTGCGGTGGCAGGGAATGCGTCGTCAATGACCTGGTTGTCCTGGAATTCGCATTGCTTTCTGATGCGCGCCAGGACCTCCTCCTTGGACACGTGCAGCATGCTGAAGGGAGGCGCTTCGTACGTCCTGACAGCGCCAGCACCCGTAGCCTTGATAGCCATGCTGGAAAGACGGGGGTTGGCAAAGATCTCGGCAACACTGAGACTGATGTTTCCCTTCTGAGCCAGGGAAACGAGCCGAATAGCAGACATGGAGTCGCCACCAATCTGCAGGAAGTTGTCATTCTTGCTGATGCTCCCGGGCTCAACCTTGATCACCTGGGCCCATAGATCGCGCAATTTGAATTCCATCTCCGTGGTAGGCTCTATTCGCTCGTCGTTCGACAATGAAAACAGTGAGAGCTGTTCTTGCGTCAGGCTGGCGGCGAGCTGACGAAGAATAGCCCTGTCAAGCTTGAGTGAAGTGTTGAAAGGCATTTTGCGCAATGGTAGGAGCAGCGACGGTACCATGTAGGTAGGTAGGACATTCTCGAGGTCCTCAATCAGGCTACCAAAGATCTTTTTGAGATTTTTACTCATCGGGATCGTGTTTTCGGGCACCTGGACTTCACCCGTCTCGCCTTCTTCGACAGGCACATTGAAGCTCACAAAGCCCACAAGTATGTCCCGACCGCCAATGTTGACCACGTCGGCGGCAGCGTATTCGGTGTTGGCTAGTGAGAGCTGGATGTTGTACTCGATTTCACCAAGCTCGATACGGTACCCGCGAAGCTTGACTTGGGTGTCGCGACGGCCAAGATATTCGACGGTGCCGTCGGCGTTGTAACGCGCAAGATCACCCGACTTGTGGAACTTGACAGGGCTTTCAGCCTCGACAGCAGGAAGGAAATCAACATTGCGGATAAAGGAGGCGTTGGTCCTCTCCGGATCATTGAGATAGCCGCGAGCCATGTTCCTCTGGATAAGGATCTCGCCAACGCATCCAATGGGCGTCAGCTTGTTGTAGTCATCCGTCTCCACGATCCACATGTTCCCCGTGAATGCCGTTCCGACGTTGGTCGGTTGCTCGTTTCGTGACTTGTACTCATGCGACCCGATAAAGATCGACACCTCAGAAGGACCGTAGGCGTTGATGACTCGCGCCCGAGGTTGCCATGTCTGGAGAGCATCTTTTGTCGGGGCCTCACCCACCAACAAAAGCATGTCGATAGTGGGAACATCGGTCGGGTCAATTGTTTTGAGGAATGACCCGGTAAGCATCGCCGTGTTCACGTTGGCCTCGAGAATGAAGCCGGTGAGGCCCTCGAGTCGTTGCTGGTCGGTAGGTGTGCATATGGTACCGCCAAAGACTAAGGTTTCGAGCATCTCGGATAAGCTCACGTCGAAGACATAGCTCGAGAATTGCAGCACACGGCTGGAAGGCCTCATGTGGTAGGCGCGTCCATAGCCAAGGACACTGCCGCAAAGAGCGGAATGTTCGACAACAATGGCCTTTGGCTTACCCGTGGAGCCGGATGTGAAGAGAACATAGGCCGCGTTGGACGATACGACCTTGTCTGGCAGCTGGGCGACCTCGTCTGTTGTCTGAGCAATGCGTGAGATTAGATTCGAGTCTAGTACCATAAGATGAGATACCAGATCGGTACATTTCTCGGCTGTAGTGGAAGAGACAAGCAAGAATTCTGCCTTGGTCTCGGCAACGATCTGTTGCCGACGACCCTTGGGGTGCGAGGGGTCGAGGGGGACAAAGATGCCACCGGCTTTGAGGATGGCAAGCATCGCCACTATCGTCCACCTGCTCTTTTCAAAACAGTAGGGAACCATAGTCTCGACCTTGACACCCATCTGCGCAAGGTAGATAGCCAACTGAGTGGACAGCCGATCAAGCTCAGCATAGTTGAAAGACCCTTCGGTGGAGAAGACAGCCTGGTGGTGAGGTTGCTCGGCAGCTTTCTTCGAAATCAGATCATGGATACAAGCGTCAACAACTTCTGGCGTATGCCTGTTGAAGCTCATGGCGCGCTCCAGATCCCAGGGACCAGCCACGGTGACAGAATTGAGCGGCTGATCTGTCTGGGCGGTGAGTTGCGAGACTACGTGGTTAAATTGGTGACCAAGTGCATCTATTTGCGCCTCGGTGATGACGTCGGTTTGGTAAGAGCACAAGAGTTCGACTCCCTCGTCATAGACCAGTGCGTCGATAACGAGGGGATACGTAAAGTATCCCTCAAGTGAGGACTCGATGGACAGCTCTTCAATATCCGACGTCAGGACAGCGTCCGAGTTGACATCGGTGTCCAGCTTCTGCATAGGCTGAATGACGAGCAACGAGGAAAAATCGCAGACCTCCCTCGCTGTGTCACTGATTTGCATGATGCGCCTGACACCAAACTGCTCGTAAGGAATCATGTCGGACGCTTGTTTCTGGACAGCCTCGAGGAAGCTCCAGACAGTCTTGGTCTGGTCTAAGCGAACACGAACAGGGACCGTGGCGACAGCCGGACCAACGACGGTCTCAAGCCCGGGAACAGGAGCTTGTCGACCGGAGACTGTAGTGCCAAATGTCACATCGTCTTGGTCTGCGTAGCGTCCAAGCAGAATGGCCCAAGCAGCGCGGATGACGGAAGCCTTAGTGATAGGGCTGTTGCCACGCTTCGGGAAGTTGATGTCGCGTCGCAGGATGCCGACCTTTTTCTCCCCTTGACCGGGCACTGGGTTGGCAGGAGGGAAGGTCGCCTGTTTAGCGCCCTCGAGCTGGGCGGCCCAGAACTCGCGAGCGGCGTCCTGATCCTGGTTGACGACATACTTGATGAAGGAGGCATATGGCTGTAGTTCAATGGTTTCCTCACCGGCATAGGCGCTCTCGAGGGTCGACATGTTGACAACCAACGAGAAACCATCAGACACAGCGTGATGGAGAACAAGGACGAAGTAGTACTCGCCAGACTGGTCGTGGAAGAGAGCATATCTGCACAGAGGGGTGCCATAACGCATCTCGAGGCTCTCCGTCTTTTTCAGGTAAGATTTGACGTCCATACGCTCGGTGGCTTCCCACCTAAAGTCAGGCTTGAGGAGGACTTGATAAAAAGAGCCGCCAACGTCCACAATGCGGGTGCGCAAGTTGCCACAGATCTCGACAGTGCGCTTCCAAGACTCTTTGAATCGAGAAGGCTCAATGTTTGAGCCTAGCTTGTAAACGTGCTTGCCAATGTACGAGCCGGGGTCCTTGACAGCCAGCGCCATCAAGCCTTCCTGGACAGACGTGCACGGGTAAGCGTCCTCAATTTGCTGTCCAGGCTCAAGCTTGCACTGTTTGCGGACTTCATCACCCACGACGAGCTTGCGGTGCTCGTCGGCAACAAGCTCGAAAGGAGAGACTTGAAAGTGCTCATAGTCTTTGCCCGTAGCTTTGGTCGCGACAGCCGAGAGGCGGGGGTCGCTGAAGATGTCTTGCACGGAGATGGCAAGACCTTGCTTGCGGCCCTCTGAGGCAAGTGACATTGCGGTAATGGAATCTCCGCCGAGACCCATGAAGCTGTCGTCGCGACCAATGGACTCAGTGGGTAGTTGGAGGATCTTGGACCAAAGTATTTGCATCTGCTCCTCAGCCTTTGTTTCGGGGGCACGCTTCTTGTCGCTGATGAGAGCATATTGGTGCAGCTCTTCTTTGGAGAGCGTCTTGATATGCTGTCCCAAAGCTTTCCGATCGAGCTTGGCAGATGTGTTGAAGGGCATGTAGTTACACGGGATAAAGAGGGACGGAACCATGTAGCTTGGCAGGGCAATCTTCAGCTCACCCACCATCGCAGCCAACTGACCTTCGAGTTCCGGGGTGATTGATCCAAACATATCCTTCATGGCGGGATCAAGGTCAGCTCCAGCACTCCTGTTGTCCTCGTTGAAGGAGAAGTAAGTGACTAGGTTAGTGCCGGTCTCGTTGCGTAGCACGTCGACAACGACAGTCGCGACCCCAGGCAGGGTGCGTAGAACATTGTGTTCAACTTCACCGAGCTCGACACGCAGACCTCGGATCTTGACCTGGGTATCTTTGCGGCTGGTATATTCCAGCGTGCCGTCGGCGTTGAAGAAGCACAGATCGCCTGAGCGGTAGAAACGACGGAAACCCCATTCGTCTTGTCGAGGCGCCCAGGCAGGGAGGTCGTTCTTGTAGAAATCGGCCGTCTTGTCTGGTGCGGCGAGGTACTCGCGGGATGTCGTTGGGCCCTGGATCACGACTTCTCCAATTGTGCCGATAGGCGCCAGCTTGTGGTAGTCGTCGGGGTCAACGATGTATAGATAGCTGCCGATGGGTTTACCGATCGTGCTGGGTGATTCGTGAGACGATCTGTACTCGTGCAGCGATGAGAAGATACAGGTCTCAGCAGGGCCCCATCCATTGAAGAATCGAACCTTTCCAAACCAGCTGTCGAACACATCACGAGATACGGCCTCGCCGGCTAGCACGAGAGTCTGAACGCATGGTACTTCTGTTGGCTTGATCGTTCTTGCAAGTGCCGGCGTGAGTATGAGGGTATTGATCTTGTGGTCACGAATGAAGCCACGAATGTTGTTGCTGCGCACCTCGTCTGCCGGGACGAACAACGTGGCGCCTGTTGTCAGTGCTGGGAACATCTCCACAATCGACATGTCAAAGACATTGGAGGCGAATTGCAGGAAAGTCGAGTTGGCGTCGCAGCCGAGCCTCGGAATGATGTTGGCCATAGCTGTGCACAGGTTACGATGCTCCATCACGAAGCCCTTGGGTAGACCGGTAGAACCAGACGTGAACAGAATGTAAGCCACGTCCTCAGGGGTGACAGCCGTCTCCGGGTTCTCCCTAGCCCGGTTCAAGTCGCCGACGAGGGATGCATTGACAACAACCACATTTGGAATCAGCTTCTCACAGGCGGCCGCGTGCAGGTGAGAGGACAAGGCCACTTTGGCTTGGGTCTGGGACGTAATCTGTTCCTTGCGGTGCTGAGGGTGGCTCGGGTCGATTGGGGACCACGCGGCTCCGGCTTTGTTGACGGCGAGCAATGCAACGATATACCAGGCAGATTTCTCAAAGAGAAGATGCACGATATCGCCCACCTTGACGTTGTGCTTGTTGACGAGGTAATTTGCGAGTCGGTTGGCGGCATTGTTGAGCTGTCTGTAGGTCAACTGGGCATCCCAGCCGTGGACAGCAATGGTTTCAGGGCGCTCTTCTGCTTGACGAGCCACGAAATTGTGAATACAGTCTTCGACAATGGTGGGATCGCTGCCGCGGTACTGCATGGCCCGTTCGACATCATAGTCAGATGTCAAGACCAGGTCGCGCAATGGCGTGTTGTCCTGGTTCAGCAGACTGTTGACAATCTTCTCATATTGATGGGCCATGGCCTGCATTTGTGGCTCCTTGAGAGTCGAAGCATCCCAGATGAGGAACAGTTCGAGCATGTCGTCTGCGAGCGCTCCCTGCATGACCAATGGGTAGGAGAAGAAGCCTTGCATCGATTCTTCGATGGAGCTGCTATCAGATCGCCCAGGTAGCAGCAGATCATTATCAGTGCTGCTGCTGAGTCCCATCTGCTGCAGTGGTTGAATGACCATCAGAGAAGTGAAGTCACACGCTTCCTTGCAATCCGGTCCAAGTCTTGCAATGTTCTGCAGGCCAAGTTGCTCGTGAGCAATCATGGCCGAGGTTCGATTCTGAACGTCCTGGAGGAAGCTGTTGACAGTCTGGTCGGGGTTTAAGCGCATGCGGATAGGGATTGTCGCAATCATGGCGCCAGGCATGGCTCCCAGGCCGGGCACAGGTGCGTTACGCCCAGATACCGTGGCGCCAAAGGTGACATCGTCAGTATCGCTGTACTTGGCTAGGACAATGGCCCAGGCAGCGCGGAGGATCGATGCCTTTGTGATCGAGGTGCCCGTGGACTCTGGCAGCTGGATCATCTTGGTCAGGTAGCGTGTGGCGCCATGCTTGGCTGCGTTGCGACGAGGAGGGAATGAACTTCGCTGGGCCCCCCGAAGCTGCTGCTTCCAGTAGTCGCCAGCCTTCTCCAGATCGATCTTGGTGGTGTAGGAAATGAAGCCCGAATAAGGCCGCAATGGTGGAAGCTCGGCATCACCATACACCTGGTACACGGTTTCAAGAACGATGCGCATGCTCCATCCATCGAACACGGTGTGGTGACTGAGCCAGAGGAAAGAATGGCTCCCATCCTCTTCAAATCCTATGCTAAAGCGATTGAGCCGTGTCGCAAACGTCATGCGGGCGCTGCTTGCGTCCGCAAGCAGCTCATCAAGAGATTTGCGTTCGCTGTTGTCTTCCCAAATGAAGTCGCTCGCGATCACAGCTTGGACTGGCACGTCGTCCATCTCAACAATGCGTGTGCGGAGGTTGGCACAAAGCTCGACAGTGCGCTCCCAGGCGGCCTTGAAGCGCTCAATGTCGACAACCGGGTTGAGGCGGAAGGCATGTTTGGCGATGTATGAACCAGGCTGTTTGACTGCCAAGGCGATCAACCCGGTCTGGAGAGGCGCACATGGGTAGGCATCCTCGACGTACTGGTTGCCGTCCAAATCGCAGAGAGCGGTGATCTCATTCTTGATGTCTTCGGGATCGCCCTCGAGTAGCTCAAACGGACCAACGTCGTAGGATGGGCCGTCCTTAGCATTGGTGGCCGAAGCAGCCATAGATGACAAACGAGCGTCTTCGAATATGTCGGCGACCGTTATACCGATGCCAGCGCTCTGCGCGGCGGAGACAAGCTTGATAGCGGTGATCGAGTCACCACCAATTTGTAGGAAGCTGTCACTCTTGCCGATCCCCTCTTCAGGAATATTCAGGACTTGGGCCCAGACCTTTCGGAGGGCAAATTCCATGTCAGTTGTTGGCTCAACCTTTTGGCGGCTGACGCCTGCGTAGGTAGCAAGCTCCTCGGACGAAAGCCCCTGGGCAGTCTCGCGAAGCAGTTTGCGATCCATCTTCATCGCGCTCACAAAAGGCATGGCACTAACGGGCAGGAATAAATTGGGCACCATGAACGCAGGGATGATGCTCCTGAGCTCCTCGGAGACTGCCATGATGGTTTGCTGCATGTCACCGTCCAGGGTGATGAAAAATTCATCGCCCTCGACATTCTTGTCGGCGAAACTGATGAAGGCAGTCAGGATCTCGCGTGATTCAGAACGTAAAACGTCGACAGCCACATGCTCGACAGCTTCGGACACTCTCTTGATAGCATACTCGATCTCGCCAGGTTCCATGCGCTGACCGCGAATCTTGACTTGCGTGTCCTTTCTCCCAAGGTACTCGAGGGTGCCGCCAGGCTGAAAGCGAACTAGATCGCCCGTCTTGTAGAAACGGGACGACGGGGAAGTAGGGAGCCAGTCGACCTTCTCGAGGAACAATTGTGCTGTGAGTTCCTCATTGTTGGCGTAGCCACGTGCGATAGCATAACCTTGTACGACAAGCTCGCCCACGCAGCCGACGGGTGCGATGCGGTTGTGATTGTCAGGTTCAACGACCCACGTAGCGTTGTTGGCACCGCAACCAATCGTTCCAGGGGCCTCGGTTTTTGATTGGAAGTCGTGTGTGCAGCAGTAGATACATGCTTCAGCTGGTCCGTAACCGTTGATGAGCTCCACGTGGTCAAACCACATGGCCAAGGTCTCCTTGGTGGGAGCCTCGCCACCAACAATCAGCTTCTTCAGTCCAGGGACATTAGCTGGGGGGATGGTTCGTGCGAACGATGGCGTCAACATGGCTGTGTTGACCTTGGCCTTGTTCATAAAGTCAACAGTACCCTGAAGACGCTCGGTCTCATTGGGCACACAGACTGTGCCTCCGTGAACGAGCGTGCTGAAGATCTCACCCAAGCTGACGTCGAAAATATAGTTGGAGAATTGCAGCACGCGAGAGGAGGCATCCAGCCTATATGTTTTGCCGTGACCCATGACGCTGCTGGAGCTAAGGGCTTGGTGCTCCATGACCACTCCCTTGGGTTTGCCGGTGGAACCGGAAGTGAAGAGAATGTAAGCAGCAGAATCGGAACCAACGTGTGGCAGAGTTGAGGCTGAGCTGTTGAACGAAGTAAAAGATTCGGCACTGAGCTCGATGACATTGTCCACCAGGCCCTTGCAAGACTCCGCGGTTGACGGTGATGCGATCATAAAATCAGCCCCTATCTCGTAGGCGAGGTCCTGACGACGGCCAATTGGGTGTTCGGGATCGAGGGGGACGAAGGCGCCACCAGCCTTCATGATGGCGATCATGGCGACGATGGCCCAGGCAGACTTCTCGTAGCAGATGGGGACAGCCATCTCAACTTCCAAGCCAAGACTGACCAAGTGCGCAGCGAGTTGTGAGGAATATTGATCTAGCTCGGCAAAGGTGAGTGTTGTCTCTGTAGAGAAAATGGCCTCATGGTCAGGTGAAGTCGCAGCCTTGTCAGCGATGAGTTCATGGCTCAGAGAATCCACCAGAGTGGGATCTTGGTTCCATGCCATGGCTTGCTCCAAGTCCCAAGGACCAGAAACTGAGATGTCTCGAACAGACGCACTGCCTCCCGTAACAAGCTGGTTGATGACATGGCTCAGCTGGTGTGAAATAGCTTCGAGACGAGCTTCCTCGACAACATTGGCATGGTAGCTGTAGTACAAGTCAACGTGGTCATCAGCGACTTGTGCCTGTACCACAAGGGGATACGAGAAATAGCCTTCAAGAGCCTCGAGGATTTTATACTTGTTCTCATGGGGAGCTGTGACAATAGACTCGTTGTTCTCTTCGAAGAACTGTTGAGCGGGCTGGATTAGCAATAGACTGGAAAAGTCGCATGCTTCCTTGGCCTCTGGTGAGAGCTTTGAGATGTTTTGTAGGCCAAACTGCTCGAATTGGACCATGTCGAGGGCCTGTGTCTGGATCCCCTGAAGGTAAGACTCGACCGACTGCTGCCCGTCTAGTTGAACACGAACAGGGACTGTGGCGAGCACAGGGCCAGGAATTGTCTCCATGCCTGGCACAGGAGCTTGACGGCCCGACACGGTAGCACCAAACGTAATATCGTCGGTATCAGAGTGGCGAGCGAGCACAAGAGCCCAAGCCGCTCTGATAACAGAGGCCTTGGTCACAGAGGACTTCTCAGACTCAGGGAAGGCGATCGTCTTGCGAAGCAGTTTGTTCTCGTTGGTGGCATTGTTGTGGACTGTAGGAGGGAATGAAGCCCTCTTGGCGTCCTCAAGCTGTGTCCTCCAGTAGCTGCTGGCCTCGTCGTGGTCAATGCTGGTGACAAACTTGATGAAGCTGGTGAAAGGACGCAGAGTCGGCATTTCCATCTCTTGGTACGCCGATGTCAGAGCATCAAGGACAATGCGAATGCACCAGCCGTCAAAGGTGGCATGGTGCACAGTCCACACCAGGAACGTGGTCTCATCATCTTCTTGGACAAGCGCAAAGAGGCTGAGAGGAGTTCCATACCCCATTTTGATCTCGGACGAGGCTTGGACAGCGGTGCTGAGGTCCAGACCGGTTGTATCCTCCCATTCCACCTTGCCGTTCAGGGTAACCTGGTACGAAGTACCGTCGATTGAGATGATCCTGGTACGCAGATTGGTACACTTTTGTACAGTGACCTCCCAAGCAGCTTTGAAGCGGCCAATATCAATGTGAGGCAAAACCTGAAACACTTGCTTGGCAACGTAGGATCCAGGCTGCTTGACCGAGAGGGCGAGAAGTCCTTCCTGTAACTTGGTGCAAGGGTAGATATCCTCGATGACATCGTCACCCTGAAGCATGCATTGCTTACGGGCTTCAACCTGGATGATATTGAGCTGTTCTTGAGGAAGCAGGCTGAAGGGTTCCACCTCATAGGACTCGTTCTCATCTGTCGAAGTGGCTGCGGCAGCCATGGACGAAAGGCGAGGGTCTTGGAAAATAATATCAACACTCAGGACAATTCCCTTCTCGTGAGCCGCAGAGACGAGCCGGATGGCGCTGATGGAGTCGCCGCCGGCACGCAAAAAGTTGTCGCTACGGCCGATATCCTCAGCCTTGATGTTCAGCACCTGCGCCCACAGGTCGCGCAGTTTCAACTCGAGGTCTGTGGCTGGAGGCTCAGATGCACCGCCCTCAGGAGAGAATTTGAGCTTGTCCTTTGTAGGTGCAGCATGGGCAATGGTGCAAAGTTGGCGACGATTGATCTTTCCCGATGTCGACCTTGCGGGCGTGCCTTCGAAGATGAGATATATGCCAGGCATCATGTACGCTGCCAAGGACATGCCCAATGAGTTATCAAGGTTAGAGATGAGTTTCCGCATCTCATCAGTCACGTCCTCGGCCAACTTGACTTCAGGAGCCTCTGAGCTGGGTCCACTAGTGTACCAGAGCAGTGCAGCCATAACATCGTCACCACTCTCAGTTTTGACGATGTCGGTAATGGCTGCCATGTTTTCGGGGAGAAACCGTTCGATACGAGACTCAATCTCACCAAGCTCGATACGCTGGCCATGTAACTTCACTTGTGAATCCTTGCGGCCCATGTAGTCGAAGGTGCCGTCGTCGTTCCGGCGGACCAAGTCACCGGTGCAGTACGCTTTGCGAGGCATGTCGCCTGGCAACCAGTCGACGTCGTGTAGCCAGGCAGCGTTGGCGCTCTCATCGGCGCTGATGTAACCGCGGGCGAGTAGAGGGCCTTGGATCATGAGCTCGCCGATACAACCCACCGGCACGAGCTCACGTGGGTCCTCTGGGTCAACCACCCAGAAGGCAGAAGACAATGGGGTACCGATATTGCTAGGCTTTCCAACTTGGCCGACATTTGGACGCCAAGCACAGATGGAAGCCTCCGCGGGGCCATAGAGACCGTGTAGTTCTGCATGATCCTGCCAAAGGTCAATGACCTTCTTTGTGACAACCTCGCCGCCAAGACCGAGCTTTTTCATGGACGGTGTCTCAATCGGGTTGATAAGGCTGGCCACTGTGGGGGTCAAGAAGGCCCAGTTAGCTTTCATGCGGTTGATAGCGCCGGCTATATCGTTATAACGCTCATGATCTGACGGGATACAGATACAAGCTCCGCGCGACAAGGTCACGAGTACGTCCATGATACCGACATCAAAGGTGTAGTTGGAGTAAGCAAAGACGCGGGTACCGGGGCCAATGCCCTGGCAGACACCATAACCGTCGGATGAAGACGCAATAGCACCGTGTTCGTGGATCATACCCTTGGGCTTACCCGTAGATCCCGAAGTGAAGATAACAAAGGAAGGGTCGCTGGGCTCGGTGATGGGTGCGATGGAGGAACGAGGAACGGGCAAACTAGCCAGATACCCGACATCAACCTCCAGGGTGCTGATGCTCAGGTCCTTGACAGATTCGTGTGTCGAAGGCGCGCAAAGGATCAGTTCCGCTTTGGTGTCCTCGACGACGCCTCGAAGGCGTGCTGCAGGCGCCTTGGGGTCGAGAGGCACAAAAGCACCACCTGCGATCTGAATGGCAATCATAGCAACAACGGCCCAGGTGGACTTGGGAAAGCAGACAGGGACAATATCGCCGGGTCCAATGCCCTGCTGCTGCAGCTTCGCCGCAAGTCGCGAAGCATATTTGCCCAGGTCATCGTAGGAAATGTCGCCATCCCACGAGACAACAGCGGGGGCATCCGGTTGAAGACGAACGTGCTCTTCAATCATCCAGTGAATACAAGAGTTGCTTGGACCCTTAAGTTTCGTGCTACGAAGGGCATGCTTCTTCTCCCACGGACCGACGAGGGAGAGATCGTTGACGAGCTTGATCCTCTTGGCAAACAACTGCTGCATAACGTGGTCAAGCTGGTTAGCGACAGCTTGAACCTCTTTCGTGGGCACGACGTTCTTGTCGTGGAAGAAGCGTATCTCCACATGGTCTTCATACATGAGCGAGAGAAGCACAAGAGGATAGTTGAAGTATTTGTTCATCTCCTGCTCGGTCATCTCAGTGCCATCCTGCCCGTCCATGATGACAGCGTCCGACATGGTTTCCAGGTATTGTCGGGGCTGGATAACCAGGAGTGTTGTAAAGTCACAGCATTCGCGAGCCGACTTGCTGATCTTGGCGATGTTCTGGATCCCAAGCTGTTCGTAAGCGACCATCTCAGAAGCCTGTTTTTGGACGTCTCGGAGCAACTCGTCAACAGGAGCATCGCGCTTCAGCTGGATGCGGACAGGGACAGTTGCAATGACTGGACCGGGCATGTCTTGAAGCCCTTCGACGGCTGCATTGCGGCCCGAAACAGTGGCACCAAAGGTGACATCGTCAGTGTTGCAATGGCGAGCGAGAACGACGGACCACGCTGCGCGCAGAATGGTGGCCTTGGTGATCGAGCCCTCCATGCGCGAAGGAGCCGAGATCTTCTTTTTAACAACTCGATAGTCTACATCTTTCTTGCCACCAGTGGTGGGCGGATATGGGGACTTCGAACCGCCTTCAAGTTGCTCTTTCCAGAAGGTGTTTGCCGCATCTTCATCGATGGAGAAGGCGTATTTGATGAATCCAGCATAAGGGGAGAGCTCTGGAAGGTCCTGTTCGTAGTAGGCTTGGTGCAGGGTCTTCAAAGCAATCTGGACACACCAGCCATCGACAATAGAGTGGTGAGTGATCCAAACGAAGTAGTTTTCTCCGGTTGGGGGTGTCACGATGGCATAGCGGCACAGCCTGGATCCGTAAGCCATTTTGTAGGTCTGGGAGACCTTTATGAATGCGTCCAGGTCCATCCCGCGCGTGTCTTCCCAAGAGACTTCATCTTTCACCAACACTTGAATGGAGTGCTTCTTGGAAGGAATGATGCGAGTGCGCAGGTTCCCACACGCTCGAACAGTACGCTCCCAAGCCTTCATCCAGCGCTGAATATCCATGTGACCAGGGATCTGAAAAAAGTATTTCGTAATATATGACCCTGGCTGCTTGACAGCAACAGCCATGAGACCCTCTTGGAGAGGTGAGCATGGGTAGGCGTCTTCAATTTCCGCATCCTTGGGCAGTCCGCACTGGGACCGCAGCGAGTCGCCAAAGACCACTTTTCGATCTTCATCGGACAGCAAGTCAAATGTTCGAACTCTGGAGTCGTCGGTAGAAGGCAAAGGGGCCTCCATCGCGGCTGCTGCCACAGATGAGAGACGAGGATCGCGGAAAATGTCGTTGACCTTGACCACCAGACCCTGTTTGCGCGCGGCTGTCATCAAGTGAATCGCAGCAATAGAATCACCGCCGATGCCTAGGAACGAGTCATCGCGACCGATTGATTCCAGTGACACGCGGAGGACGCCGGCCCAGATCCTCTGTATGCGACGCTCCATTTCCGTCTCGGGCGCCTTCTTCGCGGAGCTCTGAAGACCATAGGCGTTCAATTGCTCCTGCGTCAGTTCCGCGGTCTTGCTGCGGAGAGTCTTGCGATCCAACTTGGTAGATGTGATAAAGGGCATCCACTTGCAAGGAACAAACAACGTAGGAACCATGTACCGAGGCAGGTTCACGCTGAGGACAGCGACGAGAGCACTCACGCGGGACTGCAGGTCCCCTTCGAGTGGCATGAACATATCATCTCCAGCGTCGCCTTGACCAGCGGTGCGAGAGTCGTTGTTGAAGGCAAAGTACGCAACAAGGGTTGACCCCTTATCGTTCTTCAACACGTCAACGGCCACCTGCTTGGCGCCCTCCAGAGTTGTCTGAATGTGATGTTCGACCTCGCCAAGCTCGATACGAAGACCTCGAATTTTGACCTGCGTGTCCTTGCGTGAACCGAAGCGGATAGTACCGTCAGGGTTGTAGCTACATAGATCGCCAGACTTGAAGAACCTGTTCCAAGGGCGAGTATCGCGCTCGGGGGCCCAGTCGGGCAATTCAGTCATGGTGACGGCTTCCGTTCGTTCGCGATCAGCGAGGTATTCGCGAAGTATGTTAGGTCCCTGGATGACAACTTCACCCTCAGTACCGATGGGCGCAAGCTTGGTAGGGTCGTCGGGATCAACAATCCAGCAGTAGCCACCGATCGGCCGGCCGACGGTTAGTGGTGACTCGTCAGCCGATGTCCACTCGTGCAGTGTAGCGAAGACGCAAGTCTCGGCGGGACCCCAACCATTGAACATGCGGACACCATGTCCGAACCACTGGTCAAAGACATCCTTTGGCACGGCCTCGCCCGCAAACACCAAAAGATTGACCTGGGGCACGTCGGCGGGCTTGATGGTACGTGCAAACGCAGGCGTCATGTAAAGAGCATTGATGTCCATCTCGTTGATGAATTCAATGAGTCCGTTCATCCTAGTGTCTTCGTTGGGCACGCAGACAGTACCGCCGTACATGAGGGGAGCAAAGTCTTCGCAAATGGTCATGTCAAAGACATAAGACGCAAAGTCCAGGACATTGACCTTGGGCGAGAGACCAATGCGGGCATTCGCATGCCTCATGGACGTGCAGACACTGATGTGCTCCATAACAAGACCCTTCGGGGTACCGGTACTACCAGAGGTGAAGAGCACGTAGGCTGCGTGGCGAGGTGTGATCGCAACATCAGGCCCCTTGTCAGTCTCCACACCAGACTCGACGAGCTGCGAATCCAGGGTTTTATCGACACCAATGACAGTGGGGAACAGCTGCTTGCACTTCTCGACGTGGTTCACCGAGGCCAGGCAGATCTTCGCCATGGTCTGGTCAGCAACCTGCTTGTGACGTTGTGGAGGCTGCGAGGGCTCAAGAGGCACCCAAGCTGATCCAGCCTTATTGGTAGCCAATGTGGCGACATAGAACCAAGCCGAATGGTCAAAGCAGACGTGAATCAGGTCACCACTTTTGACGCCGTAGTCGTTGACAAGGTGGTTGGCGAGTCGGTTGGCGTGCTGAATCAACTCCCTGTAGGTGAGACGGTAGTCCCACCCACGAACAGCGATAGCATCGGGCCTTGTGCCAGCCTGCTCCTCGATAACGTCGTGGATACATGTGTGCCAGATGTCAGGCTTCTCGGCATTCCATCGGACAGCCTGCAGTCTGTCCCATTGGGAAGCGACGTCGATCGCGCCAAGTGGCTTCGGTCGAGGAGACAGCAACTGGTGAACAACGCCCTCAAATTGGTACGAGAGGGCGGACAACTGCTCCTGTGTGGTCACATTGGCATCGTACGTAAGAGCCAGCTCTACTTGATCCTCGAGAAGAATGCACTGAAGGACAAGGGGGTAGCTGAAGTAGCCCGACATGGCCTCCTCGGGCTTGAACTTGCCTTCGTCGACGGTGAAAAGCTCCGCCTCGCTGCCAGCGGAAGCCAAACCCATCTGCTGGAAGGGCTGCACCACGACCAACGAAGAGAAGCGAGTGGCCTCTGCAATATCTGGATGGATCTTTGAGATGTTCTGAAGACCAAACTGCTCAAACTCGACCATCTCGGATGCTTGCATCTGGATCGATTGCAAGAAGTCTGGCACAAGCGTGCTCCTGTCCATCCGGATGCGAACAGGGACAGTGGCAATGGTCGGGCCTGTCATCTCAGTGAGGCCCGGAACAGATGCATTTCGGCCTGACACAGTAGCACCAAAGGTCACGTCGGTCGAATCACTGTATCTGCCAAGGACAATGGCCCATGCGGCACGCAAGATAGTCGCGCGGGTGATTGAAGAATTGCCCATATAGTTGAAGTCAAACTTGCGGCTCAGGATGCGTGTCTTGGACTTGTTCTCGGCAACGGGAGGCTTTAAAGGTGGAAATGTGGCCCTTCGAGCGCCCATGAGTTGCTTCTTCCAGAATTCGGTGGCAGCACCCTGATCAATGTGTTGCACATACTTGACAAACGAGGCATATCGGTTGAAATCGCAAACTTCCTCGCCCGCGTAACCTGAACGAAGAGCGTTGAAAATCAAACCCAGAGTCCAGCCGTCAAAGATCGCGTGATGGATGATGATGCCGAAATAGTAGGAGCCATCGTCCTCTTTGAAGAGTGCGTAACGACACAGGGGAGAACCCAAAGTGATATCAGTCGCGGCGGCCTCAGCCATCAGCGATCGCATGTCGTGAGCACGAGTGCTCTCCCAAGATGAGTACTTGATAACAGTCTGCAGGATCTGGTCCCCGACACGGACAATGCGGGTGCGTAAGTTTGTGCTCATCTCAACGACGTGCTCCCAAGCCTGCTTGAACCTGGCAATGTCTACATCGCTTGAGAGGCGGTAAACCTCCTTGGCCAGGTACGATCCCGGTTGCTTGATAGCGAGAGCCATCAGACCCTCTTGGAGACTTGTGCAGGGGAAGATGTCTTCAATGACGTCCTTGGACGTAAGGCCACATTGGTCCTGAACAGCAGACTTAATGTCCTCGATCTCAGCCTCGGGAAGTAATGAGAAGGGCGTCGTCTCCAAGGACTCAGCATCTTTTTCTTCAGTTTGAGCCACAGCCGACATGTCAGACAACCGGGAATCTTTGAAGATGGCGCCCACGGTCAACCTGATGCCACTCTGCTGAGCGAGAGTCACGAGCTTGATAGCACTGATAGAGTCACCGCCTAGGCGGAGGAAGTTATCGTGCTTTCCGATGGTCTCAGCGTCAACTCCAAGGATGTCAGCCCAGAGATCGCGCAGGCGAAGCTCCATGGGCTCGGTAGGAGGTACGCTGTCCAGGGCGCCGGGAGAAAACCTCGAGCGCTTGTGAGGGGTCACAGCGCGACCAGCTGCGGCGAGTTGTCGGCGGTTGACCTTGCCGGAGGTGAGCTGCTCTGGTTTGCCTTTGAAAATTGGGTAGTTTATAGGCATCATGTGGGCGGGCAAAACATTGCTGAGCGCATTGTCAACTCGGGAGATCAACGCCTGCTTGTCGCTAGATACATCTTCGAATACCGTGAGCTCTTGGTCCTTGGAGCCAGAGGTGTACCACAGAAGCGCCATGATGGCATCGTCAACGACCTCGACAATAGCGTCCATACCCTCGGGTAGATGGGCGTGAATCCGGGACTCGATCTCGCCGAGCTCAACACGTTGACCGCGAAGCTTGACTTGGGTATCTTTGCGACCCATGTAATCGAAAGTGCCATCCTCGTTGCGACGAACGAGATCGCCAGTCTGATAAGCTCGCTTGCTACCGGATCCAGGGAGCCAATAAGCATTCTCGATCCAGACGCTGTTCGTCTTGTCGTCAACGTTTAAATAGCCACGAGCCAGGGTAGGAGCTTGGATGAGCAACTCCCCAATGCAGCCAACGGGGACGATTTGCTTCACATTGTCAGGTTCGACAACCCAGAAGGCGGACATCAGAGGCGCACCGAGGTTGTTTGGCTTGCCGACCTTTCCTACGTCTTTCCGCCAGGCGCAGATAGATGCCTCAGCGGGACCGTAGAGACCGTGGAGCTCAGCATGACCAGACCACTGCTCGACAACCTTCTTCGTAACGACCTCGCCACCCAGCCCCAGAGTCTTGAGTGTTAACACATCAGCGGGCTTGAGAAGGCTGGCCACGGTAGGAGTCAGAAAAGCCCAATTGGCCTTGGTCGAGTTGATTGCCCCGGCAATGTTGTTGTGGCGGTCATGGTCAGAAGGTACGCAGACCGTCCCACCTCGCGCGAGGGTGACCAAGACATCGAGGACGCCCACGTCAAATGTGTAGGCCGAGAAGGCGAAAACGCGCGAGCCTGGACCAATTCCAGGTGTCACGCCGTACCCACTGACAGAAGAGCAGATTGCGCGATGCTCAATCACCATTCCCTTTGGCTTTCCGGTGGAACCAGAGGTAAAGATGACAAATGATGCATTGTCGGGCTTGACAGCTGTAGCAACTGAATTGACATCGGGCAGCGACTTGAGGATAGTCTCGTCCAAGACAAACGTGTCGACCTGTACATCTTTCAGGGCATCTTTGCAGGACGGAGCAACGATGACTAGCTTGGAGATGGTATCGTCAATGATACCCTGGAGACGACCAGTCGGGGCCATAGGATCCAGGGGAACAAAGGCACCTCCAGCCATCTCGATGGCCACCATGGTGACGACAGCCCACGCCGACTTCGGGAAGCAGAACGGAACAAGAGACTCTGGACCGACACCGAGAGACTGGAGTTTAGTAGCCAGGCGAGATGCGTAAATTCCAAGCTGCTTATAAGACAATTCGGCATCCCAGGAAGAGACGGCTTCAGCCTCGGGCTGCCTCTCAATTTGCTGCTCGATAAGCCAGTGGGTGCAAGACTCTGTAGCATCGGCAACCTTGCTTGACTCTTCAGCGTGGCGCAGGTCCCACGGACCGACAAGAGAGATATCGCCAAGCTTGGAAGACTGGTGCTTGAGCAATTGCTGGACAACGTGATCCAATTGCTCAGCAACTGCTTCGACTTGGTATGCCGACAGCGCATCGGTGTTGTGGAAGAAGCGGATCTCGATGTGGTCGTCGTAGATCAAAGAAAGCAAAACAAGCGGATAGTTGAAGTAGTGTTTCATTTGCTCTTCCGTCATAGCGTATTGGTCCTGTCCGAACACAATGACGGCATCAGCTGACGCTTCGTCCATATTATCCATGAACTGACGCGGCTGGATGACGACGAGGGACGAAAAGTCGCAGGCTTCCTTGGCCGTGCTGCTCACACGGGAAATGTTGCTCAATCCGTATTGTTCGTAGGCTACCATATCAGAAGCCTGATTCTGCACGTCTAAAAGGAATTTAGAGACGACCTTCTGACGGTCTATGGTCACACGAACAGGAACCGTAGCAATAGCCGGGCCTGTCATGCTATTCACGCCTGTGACGGGGGCGTTGCGGCCTGAGACGGTCGCGCCAAAGGTGATATCGTCCCCGCCGTTGTGACGCGCCAATACGATTGACCAGGCGGCACGCAGAACAGAGGCCTTGGTGATGGAAGAGTTCATCTCAAGGGGCATTCGGATCTTCTTGGTCGTGACCTGGATATCACCTTCGGAGTTGACGCCGGACGTAGGTGGGAATGACGGTTTGGTGGCGCCATCTAACTGAGTCTTCCAGTAGTTACCGGCAGCTTGAGGTTCGATGCTTTCAGTATACTTGACAAAGCCGGAGTAGGGCTCAACGACGGGTATTCCGTTATCCCAGTATATATCGTGGACAACCTGCTGGATGAGCTGTAACGCCCAACCGTCAATGACGGAATGATGGATCACCCAGACGAAGAAATCCTCGTCGTTGGGTTGGTTAATGAGGGCGAAGCGGCAGAGACGTGAGCCATAGGTCATCTCGTAGCTCTGTCTGTCAGCGATGAATTCATCGACGCTCATGCCCTGAGTATCTTCCCAGGACTTGTCGTCCTTGACAACGACCTGCACGGAAGCGTGGCCTGTCGTAACAATTCTAGTGTGTAGGTTGTCGCAAAGGTCGATGGTCTTCTCCCATGACGACTTGAAGCGGTCCAAGTCAATTCCGCTAGGGATTTTGAAGAAATACTTGGTGATATATGACCCAGGTTGTTTGGCAGATAGCGCAATTAGGCCATCTTGCAAGGGCGTGCAAGGGTAAGCGTCCATAATTTGGGTTGCCTCGAGGCCACATTGCTCTTGGATGGCCTTGTTCAGGACGAAGTGGTGCGCACTCGGATCCAGGAGGCTGAAAGGCTCGATTATGGTTTCCACAGCAGATGCATCGATCTCGACAGCCTTGGAGGCCACCGCAAACAGACGAGGGTCGTCAAAGATATCCTTGACGCTGAGCTGGATGCCCTCGTTCCTGCAGGTGGTGATCAAATGGATGGCGGCCACTGAATCTCCGCCAATGCGCAGGAAGCTATCGTCACGGCCTATAGACTCCTTTGCACGATTGAGGATCTCAGCCCAGACGGTTTGGAGACGCTCTTCCATCGGCGTCTCGGGCGCTCTCTTCTCGCTGTCCTGGAGGGCATAGGTGGCGAGCTCATCCTGACTAAGGCCAGCGGTGGCAGCACGAAGACCCCTGCGATCAAGCTTGGTAGACGTAATGAATGGCATGTATGAGCAGGGGATATAGAGGGTGGGAATCATGTAACGAGGCAGAGAGATTGACAGTGTTCCGACCGTCGCCGTCAGTTGGTTTTGCAAGTAGGGGCTCAGGGGCATGAAAGGCCCCTCGGCGTCACAACTTGTCGCACTGGCTGTCTTGGAATCGTCTGTGAAGCAGAAGTATGCTACCAGGTTGGTTCCAGTCTCGGTCTTTAGGACGTCCACGGCAACCTGACGCGCGCCCTCCAAGTTAGTCTGGATGTGATGCTCAACTTCGCCCAATTCAACCCGGAGACCACGAATCTTGACCTGTGTATCTTTACGCGTGGAGAACTCGATAGTTCCGTCCGCGTTGTAGCTGCACAAGTCGCCAGATTTGAAGAATCGTCCATAAGCGTGGGCGCCCGTGTCGCGCTTCGGTGCCCATTCGGGCAGACTATAAACCGTTGCGGCGCCAGTTTTGGCCTTGTCAGCCAGGTACTCGCGCAGAATGGTTGGGCCTTGGATGACAGCTTCGCCAAGCGTGCCAATGGGAGCGAGCTTTTGAGGGTTGTCAGGGTCGACAATCCAGCAGAAGCCCCCGACAGGCTTTCCAACGGTCAGGGGGCTTTCATTAAAAGACTTCCATTCGTGAAGAGTGCTGAAACAGCAAGTCTCAGCTGGACCCCAACCGTTGACCAAGCGGACCTTTCCGAACCACTGTTCAAAGACGTCGCGAGGGACAGCCTCGCCGGCAAAAAGCAACAGCTCTAAAGAAGGAACATCTTCGGGCTTGATCGTTCGCGCAAAGGCAGGTGTCAAGTACGACCAGTTGACCTGAACATTGCGGATGTAGCCGGTCAAGTTATTGAGACGATCGTGGTCCGAAGGGATGCAGAGACAGCCACCGTGGGTGAGCGGCCCGAAGATTTCGCCGATAGAAAGATCGAACACAAAGGCGGCGAATTGCAGCATCCTAACGGTAGAATCCAGACCAAGCCTCTTCCCGATAGCTCGAGCAGAGGTGCTAACAGATCCGTGCTCCATGACGAGACCCTTGGGCGTTCCGGTTGAACCAGAGGTGAACAGCACGTAGGCGGCGTTGCGAGGGGAGATCTGGAGATTCGGTCCCTGTGCAAACCTGTTGGCGAGTTCTTGGTCAAGTTCAGGTGTCACTTCCAAAATCTGTTCCAACAGCTCCTTGGCCATCGGAGCGTTTCCGGGGGAAACAAGCGCGAGCTTCGCCTTGGTCTGGCCAGTGACTTGGCGCTGGCGCTCTGTAGGGTGACCAGGTTCCAGGGGAACCCAAGCCGCTCCGACCTTCATGATGGCCAGGATGGCGACAAAGTGCCACGCCGACTTCTCGAAACAAACGTGTACGAGATCTCCATCCTCAACGCTGTATTCCTCCACGAGGAAACTGGCAAGGCGGTCGGCCGCAGCGTTGAACTCCTTGTACGTAAGTCTCTTGTCCCACGCATCGATAGCTGGTGCATCAGGGCGTCTCTCAGCTTGGAGAGCAATTTGGTCGTGGAGGGTCAATTCGACAAGTTCGGGCTCCTCGTCATTGTACGCGAAGGCCTTCTCAAGGTCCCAGGGTGCGGCCACGGAAATCTCAGAGATGGGAGTGTTATCTTGAGCCAACAGCTGTTTTACAACATGCTCAAAATGATGTGACAGCTGGGTCATTTGCACCTCTTGGAGAATCTCAGAGTCGTACGTGAGCACAAGATCCACATGATCATCTGAAACCTCCCCCTGTAGCACCAAGGGGTACGAGAAATAGCCCTCAAGGGTGTCTTCAGTGCCGTGCTTAGCAGACGAATCCATCTCGATTATTGCGTCAGAGTGCGCGCCGACGGCGGCCATCTGCTGGAAAGGTTGGATCACCAGCAACGAAGAGAAGTCGCAAGCCTCTTCAGCTGCCGGGCTGATCTTGCCGATATGCTGCATGCCGAATTGCTCGTAGGCAATCATTTCCGACGCCTGCGTCTGAATGTGGTGCAGATACGTGGAGATGCGCTGGTCACGGTCCAAGCGAACTCTGACGGGTACAGTAGCTACCATGGGCCCGGGCATCTCACCCAGGTTCGGAACAGGGGCTTGACGACCGGAGACAGTTGTTCCAAAGGTCACATCATCAGTATCGCAGTAGCGCGCCAGCACAATGGCCCAGGCAGCCCGGATAATTGTGGCTTTGGTGATGGAGGTGTTGGTATTTGGAAACTCGATCCGGTTGCGCATAAGGCGAGTGACCTTGTGGGCTGAGGAAGAGGACGCACCAGCTAGCTTGGCAGTCGGAGGAAAGGTGGCTTTCTTTGCGTCCTCCAGTTGGGTACGCCAGAAGCTTACCGCGTCCTCTAGGTTGATACTCTGCACATACTTGATGAAGCTCGCGTGAGGCTTCAGCTCTAGGGATTCATAGCCTTGGTAGACGTCTGTGAGCGTACTTAGCATCAGTCGCATGGTCCATCCATCATAGATAGCATGGTGAGCGATCCAGACAAAGTATCGAAAATCGCCTTTCACAACAAGACCGTAACGGCTGAGTCGGGACCCAAAGGTCATCTTGATATCTTGCGCGGCCTCCAGAAAGGCGGACAGTGTCAAGCCCTCCGTGTTCTCCCACTCCACATCATCCGTTACGATTGACTGTATAGTTTTGCCTTGTATTGTCACCATCCTTGTTCGCAGGTTTGGCAAGGTCGCCACAGTCGTCTCCCAGGCAGTCTTGAAGGCCAATGTCTCAACCTCGTCGCTAATGCGATAAACCCACTTCGCAATGTAGGAACCAGGCTGCTTCATGGATAGAGCCATCAAACCCTCTTGCAATGCTGTGCAGGGATAAGCATCAACAACTTGCTGCGTTGTCAGGACGCACTGTTGCCGAGTCTCAACGGCCACGAGCTCGCGACGAGACTGGTCGAGAAGGGAAAATTCAGACAGATCCGTATAGTCAGGCGCACCCTCGTTAGCAAACTCACACTTGGCGGCGACGCTCGAAAGACGGGGATCATCAAAGATGTCCTTGACCGTCAGGAGCAGCTTGTCCTCGCGAGCAGCCGTCAACAAGTGGATAGCTGCTATCGAATCACCACCGATACGAAGGAAGCTGTCGTCGCGGCCTATCGTCTCGGGCGCCAGCTTCAACGTCCGCGCCCAAATTTTCTGCATCCGGTATTCCATGTCGGTTTCAGGGGGTCTCTTCTCGCTATCTACCAATGCATACTGTGCCAGCTGGTCCTGTGTCAATGCGGCAGTGCGTTGTTGCAAACCCTTACGGTCCAATTTGGTCGAGGTGATGAAGGGCATAAATTTGCAGTTGATGAAAAGCGTCGGGATCATATAGCGCGGGAGGTGAACACTTAGCTCGCTCACCATGCTGCTTAGTTCAGTCTGCATCTCCGAGCTCAAGGGGAGGAAGACCTGGTCGTCGGCGCCAGCAGTCTTGGACTCATCGTTGATACAAAAATAAGTGACAAGGTTAGCGCCAGCTTCGGTGCGGAACACGTCTACAGCGACCTGGCGAGCCGACGTGAAGTTGGCCCGAATGTGATGCTCAACTTCGCCCAATTCCACACGAAGACCTCGAATCTTGACCTGCGTGTCCTTTCGTGACGAGAATTCAATGGTGCCATCGGGATTGTAGCTACAGAGGTCGCCTGACTTGAAGAAGCGCTTGAACGAAGCATCGGTGCGACGAGGCGTCCACTCAGGCAGCTCGTAGACGGACGCAGCATCCGTCTTGGTCTTATCGGCCAGATACTCACGAAGCAAGGTCGGACCTTGAATCATAACCTCGCCTAGGGTGCCTATGGGCGCTATGTGGCTCGGGTTCTGGGGTTCAACGATCCAGCAGAATGAGCCCACGGGGCGTCCAATGTTCAAGGGGGACTCGTCAGCCGACTGCCACTCATGCAACGTGCTGAAGCAACAAGTCTCGGCTGGGCCCCAGCCGTTGATCAACCGCACCTTGCCGAACCATTTGTCGAAAACATCGCGAGGAACGGCCTCACCAGCGAACAGCAACAACTCGAGGGTGGGGAGCTCGTCGGGTCGAAGGGTCCTAGCAAATGAGGGGGTTAGGTAGGACCAGTTGACCTGCATGTCATTGATGAACTGTTTGATGCCGTTCATCCTGATCTCCTCTGACGGAATGATAATAGAGCCACCATGCGTCAACGGACCAAAGATTTCGCCGATAGAGAGATCGAAGACAAAGGCGGCAAATTGAAGCATACGGACGCTGGGCGAGAGACCAAGGCGTTGACCAATAGCTGTGGCGCTGCTGCAAACCGATCCATGTTCCATAACGAGACCCTTGGGGGTTCCTGTACTTCCAGATGTGAAAAGAACGTACGCTGCCTCTCCAGGGGTCGCTTTGCCAGTGAGGTTGGTATCCGACCTGGAAGACCTGAGCTGCTGGTCGAGCTCAGCATGCACTTGAAGAACGTCCTTGACCAAACCGTCACAGATAGACGCATTTCTTGTCGATGTCAGGGCTAAGGAAGCACCCGTCTGCGAAACAACTTGTTGCTGACGTTGAGCAGGATGCCCGGCGTCAAGCGGCACCCATGCGGCGCCCGCCTTCATGATAGCCAGAATCGCGACAAAGTACCAAGCTGACTTCTCGAAGCAGACGTGGATCAAATCGCCTATTTTGACGCCATAGTCATCCACCAGAAGGGTAGCTAACCTATTGGCAGCGCGATTGTAGTCGGCGTAAGATAGCTCGAGATCCCAAGCCACAATAGCGGGCGCTTCAGGACGCACACGCGCTTGCTCCTCAATCATCTCGTGAAGCGTTGAGCTAACGACGTTGGGGACAACCGAGTTGAAGCGATACGACGTGTCCAGATCCCACTGACCAGCCACGGCAACATCCCCCAGCGTGGCCTCCCTTTGCAGGAGAAGCTGTTCGACAACGTTGCCGTATTGGCTAGCCAATGCCTGAAGAGTCGACTCGCTCAGTACGTCCGACTTGTACGTCAAAGCAAGATTCACGTAGTCGTCGTATACGTAGCACTGTCCGACCAATGGATAGTTGAAGTAGCCTTCGGGCAGCTCCTCAATCTTGCGGCCTTCGGCACTGCACTGCTCCAGCAGCTCCTCGGCGACGCCTGTCAGGTACTTCATAGGCTGCAGGACAAGGAGAGACGAGAATTCGCATGCGTCACCAGCGTCGCTGCTGACCTTGGCTATGTTTTGGAGGCCATATTGCTCGTACGCAACCATGTCGAGGGCTTGCTCTTGGATGCCGACGAGAAAATCGGCGGTGGTCTGGGTCTTGTCGACAGTCACACGCACGGGGACTGTTGCGATGGCAGGTCCGGGCATGTTTTCGATGCCCGTGATGGGTGCCTGGCGACCGGAAACAGTTGATCCAAAAGTGATATCTTCCGAATCGGAATATCTCGAGATCAGGAGGGCCCAAGCTGCACGTAGCACCGTAGCCTTGGTGATCGAGTCGTCGTCGAGGTCTGGGAAGTCGATCTGCTTGCTGTACGTCTTTGTCAGATCATTTGCGTCCGCAGCATGGTCTGTGGGCTTGGGGTTAGGAGGGAAAGCCGCGCGGTTGGCACCGTGGAGTTGTTGGCGCCAGTACTTCACGGTCTCTGCAGGGTCGAGTGTCTTCGCATAGTTGATGAACGACGCATAGGGAGCCAGTGCCGTGTCGGATGTTGCGTTATAGGCATCCTTGAATGTGTTCAGTAGAAGGCTGATGGTCCACCCGTCATATACTGTATGGTGACCGACCCAGATGAAGTAGTGCTCGCCGTCAGATCCACGAACAAGCGCATGGCGGTTGAGCCTCGATCCAAAGCCCATAGTGACGGACTCTGTGCTCTTGACAAACTCGAAGAGGGTCATGCCATCTGTAGGTTCCCACGAGAAGTCGTTTTTGACAACAACTTGCGTGGTCAAACCTTGCATCTGGATGATCCTTGTTCGCAGATTTGTGCAGGCTTCAACCGTGCGCTCCCAGGCAATCTTGAAGCGACGCACGTCCACATCCTTCTGCAGCCGGTAGATCCACTTGGCAATGTATGATCCTGGGTTTTTGACAGCCAGAGCCATCAAACCTTCTTGTAAAGGAGAACATGGGTAGGCATCTTCCACGACCTGGTCCCGCGACAGATTGCATTGCTGGCGCACATCGTCACTGCGCGCAAGCTCGCGAAGGGATTTTGGCAGCAAGCTGAAAGGTGCAATAGCCGAATCTTCAGTGCCGGCCGCATCATTGACATCCACCTCGACTGCCATAGCAGCCATGCGCCAAAGTCGCGGCTCTTCAAAAATCTTCTTGACCTGCAAGACGATCCCTTGGGCACGCGCATTATTGACAAGCCTGATCGCAGCAACCGAGTCTCCGCCCATGCGCACAAAGTTATCGTCGCGTCCAACCGTCTCAGCGGGGATATTCAAAACGCCGGCCCAGATCTTCTGCAGACGCTCCTCCATATCGGTCTCCGGCGCAGCCTTGGAGGCGCTCGAGGTTTGCAGGGTGTAGGCGGCAAGCACATCCTTGGCCAAGGACGCAGTCTTGGCCTGGAGGCCCTTGCGGTCCAACTTGGTAGAGTTAATAAAAGGCATGAAGCGGCAAGGAATAAACATGGTGGGTATCATATAGCTTGGTAACTTGGAGGCAAGCTGGCCCACCATGTCGGCAAGCTGCGCGCGGCGCTCCTCGGAAAGAGAAAGGAATACATCGTCGGCGTCTTCATCGTACATTTCGCTGCTCGGCCGTGACTCGTCGGTAAAGCTGAAAAAGGTGACGAGATTGGCGCTCGCCTGGGTCTTGAGTACGTCCACGGTCACCTGACGCGCTCCGGGGAGCAACAGACGGATATGATGCTCGATTTCTCCCAATTCCACACGTAGACCGCGAATCTTAACCTGGGTGTCTTTACGGCTCGCAAATTTGATAGTGCCGTCGCTGTTATACATCGCCAAATCACCCGATTTGTAGAAGCGGCTATAGTGCCAGGACTCTTGAAAGGGTGCCCAGCCGGGAAGACTTCCGACCATGGATTTCTCGGTCTTCTCCTTGTCGGCGAGGTATTCTCTTAGGATAGTTGGTCCCTGGATCACGACCTCGCCTTCCTCCCCAATGGGCATCAATCTGCTAGGGTCTTCCGGGTCGACAATCCAACAAAGGCCGCCGACAGGTCGCCCCACTGTCAACGGCGACTCGTCCTTTGATTTCCACTCATGGAGGGTCGAGAAGCAGCATGTCTCTGCAGGTCCCCATCCGTTGATCAAGCGTACGTTGCCAAACCATGTTTCCAGCACGTCCCGACCAACAGCTTCGCCTGCCAGCAGGAGAAGCTCGAGTTCGGGGAAATCCTGGGGTCTTAATGTACGGGTGAATGCAGGTGTAAAATAGGCCCAGTTGATTCCTTTCTCGCGAATAAATTCGGGCAGGGCGTTTAGTCGGTCCTCCTCGCTAGGAACGCAGATACAGGCGCCGGAAATCAGGGGCCCGATAATCTCGCCAATAGACAAGTCAAAAACGAATGTCGCGAATTGTAATATGCGCACGTCGACCGACAACCCGAGTCTTCTTGCGATCGCTGTTTGTGAGGTACAGACAGAGCCATGCTCCATGACAAATCCCTTGGGGACGCCTGTGCTGCCAGAAGTGAATAGGATGTAAACAGCGTTACGGGGGCACACATCACTCGCGGGCGCAGCGTTGCTAGACTCGGGCTTGTTGCGAGCCAAGTGTACATCCAGGCGTGGTGTGAGCTCAACGACTTTTCCAACCAACTTACCTCCGAGCTCGGCATGGGTTGGCGATGTGATGATGAGTTTCGAGCGCGTCTGTGAGACCACGGACTGGTTCCGCTCGAGAGGGTGTGATGGGTCAATGGGTGCCCACATCGCCCCCGCCTTGTTGATGGCGAGGATGGCGACACAGTACCATGCCGACTTGTCAAAGCAAACGTGAATAATGTCTTCCAGTCCGACGCCCTGATCGTCCACAAGATGGTGCGCCAAGCGGTTGGCTGCCGAGTTGAGCTCGCTGTAGGTGAAGTGGCGATCCCAAGCATGGACAGCTGAGGCATGCGGGCGAATTCGCGCCTGGTTCTCGACTAATTGATGAACACAGGAATCGATGATTTCGGGGGCGTTGCCATCGTTCCAGGCAAGAGCTTGTTCGAGGTCCTGGGTCGAAGCATGGCTTGGAGTTGTAGTTGTCGCAGTGGGGATCCCAAGCTGTGAGGTGGACGCAGAGGGGACCTGCTGCGTAGCCATGGCGCCAGCAGCAATAAGAATGAGGTCGTTTGTTTGGAGTATGATGTTTCGCAAGGGAAGGATATCGGTGTAGCGTGTGGCAATTTCTGTCGTCGCTGCTGAATTCGCATGTGCCGGTATCGCTCAGTCTCACAAGACAGAGATCGTTATGTGTCGTTGCTCAAGCGCAAGGCGAACATACGAGCCTCCTCTGCGGTCGACGCGGCAAACAGAGCGTACTACAAGAGTCGTCGTCTTTGGTCAGTAGAGAAGGCAGCGTAGTAAGAGTGTATTACGCGTCCTTCGGGTCGAGTGAGGGATCACAGCAATTCAGTCTGCGGTGCAAATTCACAAGAGGGAAAGAGGGCGCCAGGTGAGGATAGCTTCACAACGCAGACGCGTTTCTGTCCGTGAGTAAGCGATCCAGCAATCTACAGCCTACATGTACAGGTACCGGACCAGCAGGCCACCACCATCCTTGTCCAGCCTTCACTGAAAGGAGCCGGGGTGGGACATGCCGTAAGATCCTACATGATGTTCGCTGTGAGCGTCTAGATGCGGTATCCAGAATAGGATCACGAAGCGCGCAGAGCGTGCTGGGTATTGTTTCCCCTGGATCCTCCATGGGCTTTGGGTTGGCTTGCATGGAATTCTCGGCCACACAGATAACTAGCCTGGCCAGGCTGGCCCTCGACGGGCGTTTTCTTGGAGCGTGGGAGAGCTGAATGCGCGCGCGATGATGGATGGGGGAAGGATGCTGAGTCTGGCTGCTCTCCAACATCAGAAATCCAAGATCTACGATCAACGACATGAAGCTAGTTCGTTTATGGCAAGTGGGTCTCTCTGCCGGTCCCAACGTGCTTTGGCCGCCAGGTAAGCCTCACCTCATCCTCAGCCTTAACTTGGCGCTCAACGTGCGAGATGCTGCATGTTTGCAGCGAGATTGTACACTTATGTTGATTTACTTCATATTTCCCATCTGCGACACAGGACGTTGTTCCTCCCCACATATGGCAAGACTGCCTCGCTCTCGTGCTCGGAGCCCAGTACACCAGGCAGGGGGGCACCTGCATTCTCCGAGACCAATCACCCAGCCACCACACGTGTGCTCGTGCAAGCGAGACCCGTTGAAGAATTGAGCAGATGTGTTTATTGGACATTGCTCAGATAGTCCCGATGATGGAAGTCACGGTCAGCCATGGGCATCTCAATTCTCAAGGTCTGTGCATTTACGATCACCGCAGTCACTGCAGATTGGGGGCTGGCTGCTGGGGTGAATCCTTCAAGACTAATAATAATAAGCGTTTCCTCTGGGTGGAACCGTCTGTAGACTCACTCAACTCGCAATGTCGCAACCAGCCCACTTCCACCCTTCTCCTGCATGTAACAACCCGATGAGTGCTTATTTTTGATATAAGACATGTTGTAATTGGCACGGCTGAGTTTGGTCTTCTTAAATTCTTATTAGGTGCTCGGGGTTCGCTCAGGTCAGAGCACTTAAAATACAAAGGGGACCGGAGACTTTGGCAGTGTTGGCACCACTGTGCTTCTTGTCGTTTTAGGATGCTCTAGTCATTATAAAGCCTCCTTATTGGCTCTGAATGCATGGACAGGCGACCCTTTTTACGCCTCGTCAGCCGCCCATGCTTCTCCAATTGGAAATGACGTCAGTGATGCCAGGGTGGCTGCTGTATTTGGGACTTGTCACGTCTGCTGTAGCTCTGGTGATTCGATTGATCCTGCCCTGGCTTAAGTTGGCTGCATGTGCTCGTGTACGCCATGAGGAGGGTCCAAAAGAGCGATCTTCCCACGCTAAATAATGCTTGAAGCCCCCCATGTCAAGTTTCATGTTCCTCATACCGTCGGCAGACGGAGTTGTGCAATTTCGGCCCTTGCCGCGCCCATCTACTTGAGATTTTTCGCATCATTTGGGCACGCGGATATTGCCCTCGTCACTTGTGCATGTCTAGTGATCTTTGGCGCCGGCTAAGGCCTCTATCTGTCTCAGTTGGATAATCGTTAGAAATTTTGCGAGCTGTTGCAAATGAACTCGGCGGGTGCTCCCGTGCACCAACTTTGTATCCGCGCTTGACAGATCGACAAGTCTGGGCGCGACTCTCTGACGGTCTGATCCCCGCCGCTGTGTGTAGCTCTGTGCCGCGTCTCTCCCTCGATTCTTCGAGTATGTGCGTGAGTATATCATATTGCCAAACTCCCGAATCGCATACTCTGTGAGCATGGACATTTACAGCGTGTCCATTTTGGCCAGGAGCGCGACGCGTCGGAGTGGTGGCACTGGCTACCCTGAACTAGGACTGCACACCTAGCGTTGAAGCATCACGAGGCTTCGAGGAACGAAAAGACAGAGCATGGCCTTGGTTTCATGCTGAAAATAAATACTTAAATTATCTTTGGAGTATAAACTTCCTTTGTCGTAAGTGTGTAGATGTTGGCTGAGATTGTTTATTCGATGTTGAATTTGGGATCATGTCATTGGTACTCGTCGAACAGAGAAACGACAAAACACGCTTCGGCTCACGCACTAATATTGAATTCCCCATTCCACCTTCGTATTGACATAGTCTGTGTTCAAAGTGGTCCTTATACTACGCGATGTTGGCACCAGCCCTGGCATGGATATTGCACCAAAAGACACACCATGGTAGGTAGCGCTAGCGAGTTTGTCGGGTCAGTGTTTGTATGACGCCCCGTGAATATTTCCATTCCACGCCGTCCACGGTCTATGACATCGCGGTGTCCAAATCGGAGCATATCATTCCGACCTCCGCCTTATCCACTCACCAACGGTCTCGCAGGCACTCTCAATATCACCATCGAACTCCCCTCGAAAGTCTCGCTGCAGCGCGGAGGCTATCTCAGGCGAGTCATCCGGCATCCAGGGGTTCCTGCGGTCGAATTCCTGTTTGAAATACCGTTGGTTGACGCGCCGACGTACGTGTCGAGAGACTACCTCCCACTGTAGCCTTCCCCCCCATCGTCCCACAACCAATGTCATCGCACCATGTGATGCCTTTGCCTAGTCCATCATCCTTTAGGCCATAGCTGCCTGGATTTAGATAGACTGACCACGACTCTTCCGTCTGATCGTCGTCCGCAGATATGGACACCCGAAGATTGCTCACGTAGCTGATCATGGGACGTCCACCGCCCTAAGTCGGACGGTCGATGTTTTCAAAGCAGAGGCACCGATCGGCATCGATTGTGAGCGTTCCAGAACTCTTCAGGTCCTCGCGCGTCAGCGACAGGATGAGGCACGGCGTCATGATCGGCGGGCCAAAAGCCTCAGGACACAGCTCGTTGAGCTGCCCTATAGTCTTCTTGCAAGCTTCGCATCTGTCCTCGCTGCAGTATCCTCGGTTGAGGGACGAGATCCACTTTACAGCAACGATGATCGCAGTTATGGCCTCGAACAGCTCAAGTTTGAGGTCAGAGAACGGGCAGCATTGTGTTCCTGGGACATTGTCCTCATGGGCCTCATGAGGGCATCTGACGGCAATGGTGTCCACAAGCGGTCGCGGAATATGAGGAGAGGACTACGGGATATCGTCGTTTACGTAACTCTGCCATAGCCATATGTTACTGAGGCTGATGCTCCAGTGTGGGCAGAGCGTTCGAAACCCTTGCCTTGCGATACAGGTGCGCCCTGCCGTGGCTTCTCGTTGCGACGGAGTGAATTCCACCGAGCGATGCTCCACGTTGCAGGTGTGACATATGATATAGTCTGTGAGGTCGAATACCCAAAACAAGATCCGTCGTGTGTGAAATCGCTGTACTCAAGACAGCAAGTGGCCGAACTTGGGGGCTTTGAAGTGCTTACACAATACTCGGGTGTCGGTCTTGAGCCAGAGGCCTCACTGTGGCGGCGCGACTCCTCGGGATCACCCTGCTCATCCCGAAAGAGTCTCTGCGGGAGTCCTATACCAGACGCTTTGATGGCATGAGTCGTAAACTGGGTTTCTGGCTCGGGCTCATCCCCGATCAAGAGGCCAGGAAATCCCCTCCGCTTGTGAAGGTTGTGCGCGCTCAAAGTCGACTTTTGATGGTACATGTAGTCGCGGCCACTCGGGGCAGTACTCTTGCCTTGCGTTGGCCCAATATGCGGATCGGACTCCTTCTTTGCGTCCATGTTGCCTTGCTCTGTGACTTGACGCACAAAGGTCGGACAGAAAGCAAAAACCGAAATAGTGCACGGTACTTAGTTGTAAAATCACAGTCCGAGAGAAAACGACCCGCCAAAAGAGGAAATAGAGGCTTGAAAGAACTGAGTCTAATATGATGTTCAATAGCTGAGCGGAGAGTGTGCCTGAGTTATGGTAGACTAGAGCACGTGTTTGGACTAAGCTACGAAGCCATACAAGTTAAAGAACATGGACAAACTACGTGATCTTTCCACCGACAAAGGCAAAATCAAGACCATTGATTCACGATAGCTGCGCAAAGACTTAATAAGCTCAGGGGAAAAGCTACATCAACCTACAGCTGTTGCGTGCAATCCAGATCTAAGAGTATGTCCGAGTTCGATCCGGTCATAATGCGCCACAATGCCCACCTGCCCTCGGCCAAGTACCTCCACAACTGGATTGAGAAGCTTGAAGAGACTATCGCGGAACTGCTCGAGCAGATCGATGAGCGGGAAGCTGCTAGAGAATCCGAGTGTCAAAGTCTTCACCAAGCCTCACCACATGACCTCTTAAGAGCAAAAAGCGAATATGCACAATCAAGAAAACACTGTGGGATTTATAGCATGATATAGACGAAAACCGTAGAAAGTCTGAGTAGCTTCCTAAAGTGGACCACGCAAATGAATCGACAAATCGTCCCCTACGTGCACGTCCAAGTATACGACGCAGGCGTGGGTGGTAGTCTTGATTGCTCGAAGCCTTTCTGAGGTAAAAGTGAAACAAAAGCCAAGTAAAAGCCAAGCAAAAGGGGAGTATAATTAAGGCAAGATTGTGTTTGAAATCAGATGAAATGGCCGGGTGCCTTGGACCAGAGACTGTACTAGTCCGAAGAAGATAAAATGGGAAAGGTTTTCTTCTCCTGTACTTCGCTTTTCTGCCAGGTAACTTTTCTTTCGACCCAACTACCTACTTGATATCTACGCAAATCACATTGCCACCTCGAGTCTTAGGCAATTTCCTCGCCATGGACTGTGAGCACACTCTTGCAAGCGCCCTCGAGGAACGAAAGATGTGGCCGAGCAGCTAGCTGCTCGATGGTTGACTCTGGTTTTCACTGCCATCGGGTGTGTGATGGCCAAGGCCGCTTTCTTTATCGGTGAGGGCATTGTGTAGGCTTTCTAAGAGCTCAGAGGGGTGGGAGATGGCGCTCATCGGAATATGTCAGTGCTTCCTTGCTCGTGCTGGTCATCAGCTTTGCTAGCGTTTCACAGCGACGCCGACAACGAGTGTCATCACGCCAGGCAACAGAGATCTGGATTCATCAGAAATGCGAGATGGCCCGCTGGATCAGTGCATTCAATATTTGTAAGAAAGCCCGTTGGTATTATGTGGTGAAGTTCTCCATATATTGACTAACGCAGCACGGAAACCAGCGGAACAGACAGCGGCACACAAGAACAGATTATCTAGCGTCTGAAAGACCAAGAGGAAATTTTGGACTCTGTATTGAGACGTGTCGTAAAACTGGATACTCAGAGTAAGAGCTCGTGTAACTTGTCGCGATTTACGATCACAACGAACTTGAGTACGATCGCTTAGACAGACCCGCTTGAATGAGATGCGCCAGGCCCTCGAAAAGACCCTGAGCTATAACAAGACGAAGGACGAGCAAATCGAGAGGATGTACCGAGAGGAAAACCAAGACGAAGGAGGCTTGGCCAGGTGCTGTCGAAGAAATTGATGCTCGTTTCCAGGACCTCGAAAGCAAGACCTGTCGCTGGAAACCCAACGCCGCCGTTACCGAGGACACTGATGAGCCACACTCAGAGCACAGTGGAATTTCCTTTTGGCCTGTTTGATGCGTCCCTACATGGAGGCATGTAAATCGAGTTCTCATCACGATCGAGTGGATCTTGAGAGATGAGACAATACATATAGATTTCTTTCAGCAAATACTCATACATCACGCTGCTGCTGGCTGAAACCACTTCTTGTTGACCAGCGTGAGCGGCTCGCCCTTGTACTCACCATCATTATCAACAACCTTCATAATGTTCTTCATGGCGTTCAGCTCAGGATTGATCCGCGTCGTGATCGCAGCGCCTCCATGATGGCACGTCAGTACCACATTTTTAATCCCGGCCAGCACCAGAGATCTTTCCACTCTGCAGCGCCTCAATCAGCGTATCCTCATTGACAAACTGGCCGCGCGCCGTGTTGATGATCCTCGGGCCGTCCTTCATGGCGGCAGAGGCCTCCTTGTTCATGAGATCTTGTGTGTGTGCGTTCAGAGGCGTGTGCATTCAGAGGCGTGTACAAGCTGACGCAGTCCGCCGCCCAGAGCAAACTGTCCGGCATTGTGTCGGCTTCTACTTTGCCGTCTTCTACTTTGAATTCGATGCGTCCCTGATGAACGGTCTGCAAGCCATCCCCCAGTGGCAGGAGTACTTCAACCATCCCTAGAGGAACATCCTTGGCCTCATCTCAGCCAGTCTGTTCGTACCCGCCATGATCACGCCCTTCGCCGCCTCATGGATCAACGGTCGATGGGGTCGCAAGTGGTGCCTGGCCATTAGTTCGACCCTCCCCATCCTCAGTATGTTCCTAAACGCCTTCGCCAAGGACCTGGGCACGCTTATCGGTGGCCGTAGTATCATCGGTGCCGCCGGTCCCTTTGGAAAGATCACGGGCATCGCGCTGCTCCAGGAACTCGCACACCCCCGTCTCCGTCCCCACGTAGCCACTGCATACTACAGTAATTACTACATCGGCCAGAGCGTAGCCCTGGCCTTCAATCAATGGGTCAATCCCGTGGCACTCCAGGCCATTGCTTGGAAATAGTGAGTTGCCATCGCGCACCCGGGAGACTCAACGTTGACGCTTGTTAGTTATGTCGTTTACATTGATTTCGTTGCAATATACCTCGTTCTCCTTCTGTTCTTCTTCCTCGAGACTCGGAACGTATCAAATCACAACGAGATCCTCTTCTGGGTTTTGCTTACAAATTACGCAGGGGCATGTCCATCGAGGAAGTCTCTGTTTTCTTTCATACGGGACGCAAGGGAGATCCCGATGTAGTGGCTCACCAGTTCCAACCTGGTGGCTCTGATTAGGAGCGCGCGTTGACGGAGGAGATTGACGACGTTGAAAGGAGGCACAAACCACCACTGTCACCCGGGTTGAGAGGTGGGCATATTCTACTATGGAATGTCTCCGGACGTGTCGTAGAGTTGCTCATCTAAAAGAGTGTGAATTGACACAAGTCCATCTCTTGAGGCCAATGTGGATTCATTGTCTGAGTGATGTCAACGTTCCACCTACACTTGTAACGACTAAGCTTGTCACTCAATGAACATCTGATCGAAACCGATTACCTCCCACTCTTTGGTCTCTGTGTTCAGTGTCAAGTTGGTATGCTTAACATTGCCAAACCTCAGCGCGCCCGACTCTGCCTGTACACCCCCGACGGGGCGCTCGAGGTGGTTCTCGTTCGCCACAACGGTAAAGTTGGCGAGGGGAATGTCCCACGGGTTGCGCGTAGTAACGGAAGGCGAGCCTGAAATCGTCAGTTTCTCGCGTCATGCACACGGGTCCGCCGAGCCCACCGTAGAACTGCGCCGTGAGCTTCTCCGGGGCCACCTGGAGGTGAAAAAAGCCGCGGTAGTAGCCCTCCTGCCACATCATCTCGTCGTTCCGCTCAATCATGGCACGGGCGTAGTCGCCAGCGTTGGGCTCAATGGGGCCTGATTGGCCGCTGGAGGTGACGGCTGTCCCGGCGAATTCGACGCCCACAGCACCTTGGCCAGTCTTCATGTTATGCTCCCTCTCCCCGAGCCAGACGAGGTCGGAGACCCGTTTCTGGTGGCTGTCGCCTGCGAGAAAGATGTTGTTGCTGATATTGTTGTCGTACAAGTGCTTGAGGGTTCTGTTGAGGTTGGCGATGTATCCCTTTTGTGTTCTGTAGTCAACAATGGACCTGCTAATGGTTATCCGTGGCTACTCACATTCCAATTGTCCCCGCTGAGGGAGCCCTCGTCGTTTTGGAGAATGCGAGAGACGATGATCTGGTTTCCGATGAGGCGCCAAGTGGCCCCTCGCTTGGCTGATATCGACAGCGAGTTGTAGAACCAATGCTCCTGGCGAGCCCCCATCAATGTGCGACTGGGGTCATCTCGGATGAGGTCGATGTAGTCGTCATTCCACCCTGTACTCGTCAGTCCACTGGTGAGCAAGCATGTGTCTGTTGAAAGTATCTTACCCAGAGATGTGATTGAGCGATCATGCACATGAGTGTCGAGGATGACGAGGTCAAGGAGCTTGCCCATTTGGAATGAACGCCAAATGCGAAGGCCATCGTCCAGGTCCGTTTGACTTTGTTCTGTCAGCTCCATGATTTTCCAATATAAGCAAAATTTTCGAACCGAATGCGCATCCATTCGAAGTATGCGCGAACAGCGTTGACTTTGCGGGTGTCAACACTGATCTCCGGTCCGTCGTTTAAAAATGACTCTTCAGTGTTGTTTGAGCCGCTTGTTCCATCGCGATACACATTGTTCGCCACCTCTGCAAACATTTAGCAACGCCTCACGCAACTGTTAAATCAAGTTGGCTTGCCGTGAACATCCCAGGTAGTGATCCAAGCGTAGTCCCGCGCCAGCAACTGCAGATCTGGGTCGGTGCGATACTAATCAAGCATGAGTTTCACAAGCCATGGGCTTGAACATGAAGGCCGGACATATCTGGCCGTGACGAGCACGATAGTCGTACAATGTGAAGATCTTGTTGGGAGGGATTGAACCACGTTCGGTCGCGTCATCGTCAGCAGCGTACTCGTACATGTAGTCGCCCAGGTGCAGCACCCAGTCATGCTCATCCTTGCACGCTGCATTTCCGTAGGCATTAAAGTAGCCATTGGCTGTTTGTGTCAGTTACTGGCGGTCACCAAATCGCAGACACCAAACTTACGAAAGTTGCTGCAAGAGAAGACAGCAAAGCTGAGGGATGAGACATCATCGTCAGCGGTGGGTGCAGTCTTAGTCCGTCCAATTGGACTCTTCACGTCAGAGTTGCAGACGTTAAACTGGTAGTTGTACTCCGTCAGAGGCTCAAGGCCCTGGGCTTCGACCTGCTCATGTGTCAATAAAATTCCCTGACGACGACACTACTCGACCTGCCTTGACTGTAAAGTCAATATCAGATGTCGTGTGAGTGACTCCCTGCGACACAGTCTGCTGCGTCTCGTTCTTCTTTCCCATATAGACCTTCCACTCGACGCAGATTGGGTTCGGATCGGCCTCAACAAACTGTTCAGTCTCATGGCTCCAGAGTGGCGCCGTACCTTCCACGGGCACAGTGCTGTTCTCTGACTTGTTGCTGGGTGCCACTCTGGTCCAAAGGACCACGCTCTCCGGCCACGGGTCACCAGAGGCCACGCCGTGGGTAAAGTTGAGCTCTGAAGGCTCGTAGGCCACATTGTCGCGTTTCCAAGACCTGCGCTCGACAATGTTGGTGTCGATGCCCAGGCGCGCGTGTCGCCTTGAGGGAGAGACATAGTTTAGGTTGCCTGAGAAGCTGGCAGCCGTGGACCCGAGAAGGGCCGCTACGGTATAGATGATCTTGTACTTCATTTCGGTGATGTCTGTCAGTCAGGTCGTCGCAAACTAAGTAGCGTAGGCTGCCATGGTACTCATATCATTGAGACGCGCTGGTAGCACACGTCTCTATTCCACAAGCACCGATATCCGCGTCCAGTAGAAGAGCATCTTCGAAGCACGTTGCTATTTGATCCAAGGTCGCATTGGCGCAGGGCACATCATCGACAGCAATCGCTGATCGCGACGTGCTCCTGGCAGACCACGGCCTTTGAGTCCACCATTTCGCCTGTCTAGATGTAGGAGATGCAGGTGATCGGCAGGTGCTAGGTGAACGTGCTGGCAAGCTGTCGAGTGCATTGGCCAGTCGAACGTAAGTCGTTTGCAGGTGGCCTCTGGAGCCAGCTACGCGAAGTTTCGTTCTGGATGCCACTCAAGCTTGAATACAACATGAACCTTGGGTCCCCGCGTGCCGCGAGAGGTTTTCTTACCCGGATTTCGGCAGGTAGTTCAGGTAGGTTTGGTCGTGCATTTGGTAGGGATCTTCTGCCGGTTTGTTGCAACGGGATGGATATCAGCGTCATGTGTGAACCGATTCAAGCACGTGCGCGGGGTGGAAGCGACAAAATGTGAGCTGGATGCTGATCGTGTGTATTCATTTGGGTGGTGGGTGAATGGATGTTGGCGATAGTCCATGGAGAGATTTTGATTCAAAGGGGGCTTGGTCAACCAAAAGCCAGTCAGTATCTTTTCTTTCTGTTATAAAGACCTTCGCGAAGTGTTTGTAGACTTCTAAGGTCCATCATGACTGGAACCAATGGAACATGAAGAGGTTGTGCTTCAGGAGTTCCGGATAGTCAATGTTGATGTTCGACTAAAGCTCTACCTAACGCTAGGTACTTCGACACTATTGTTCACCCTTCCAAGCCCTTGTCCAAAATATCATCAACATACTCCTCACTATTGATTAACGTGAAATGAATAGATGGGTGTATAGGCTCCATTGATTCTCCGTTGGCGACAATGAAGTAGATGTGTAGGGTAGTCTCAAGCTCGACTAGTGGATACGTATTACATCCGCCTGCCTAGCATTGTGCCCAGAACATCCATATCCAATGCTTTCGACAAAGATATCAAATTTCTAAACGCAGATGAACTATCTACTTTAAACGCTGTATATCGCGTCTGCGAAGACCATTGAGTCCCGCGCAATGGGTGATTGGGGTTCACGTGAGGGACGGCTCTTCAGATCCCTGACGTAAGGCGCTTTCCAACTCGGGAAGGCGCGACGCGTCCAAAGTGGACTTTACGCGGTTGGCGCGTCTCTCCTCCATAGTTGCGGTGACCGTTTTCCGTACAATCGTCCTTCTCAACGCACACGTACCGAATTCTCCGACCCAGTTTCCTAGTGAACGATCAGCACGAAACGAGTCGCTAAAATCCCATACCAACCGCATATCCACGAATGATTGACTGAACCATAGCCGCTCCACGACAGCGAGCTCGGCTGGCGAGCCCGTTGGGCATGGCTCAGGTTGCAACCATGGTTCAAGGCGAACCTGCTGAGAAGAAAGTTCACCCTTTCTTCTCTCGGAACCTCGAGCCACCGTCGACTCCTCCACCTAGCTACGCAACAGCTGAACAGACTGGGCAGCCAGGACTCGAGGACGAAGATGTCAGCAAGAAGCGTAAGACAGAAGACGCAGGCGAGGTCCGAGATGAATCTGCCTCGAAGATGCCAAAGAGAAAGAGGGGCAGACCAAGGCGCAGTGACCCGATCACCAAGCACTTGGTGCAACCTCAACAAACACCTGAACCAGCGCCTGCGCCTGCGCCAGCGGATCAATTGGGGCAGACCGAACAACAGCCACCGAAAACCGCTCCTCCGACTTCAGAGAAGATCACGCAAGCCGCGATCAATGATGCCGCTGGGAAAAAGGTTCTGAAATTCAACCCTTTGACTGGTACTCTAGGGTCACCGCCAAAACCCAAGTGCACTAGCCCACCTTCACGAATCGTCACCATCAGATACGGGAAAAATGAGAAAGATAGAGCCGATCTCGGAGAGAAGATCACCTCTATATTGAGTACGACGCAGCAGTCACCCGAATCATCGTCAAAACGAACACGGAGAAGAAACCCCAATAAGATGGCAGACGCGAATACGGCAGATATCTCCGAACCCAAAGTCGACTCTGAGGTTATAAGGTCAGCCGCAAAGGACACACATCCTTTCTTTTCCGGGAAGAATAAGGAGACTATCAAATCATCAGCAGCTAGACAGCCTGTCGAAGCGCCCAAGCCAGAGCCCCCTAAGCGACAGACAATATCCATGGCCACACCGGTATCCCCACGAAAACAACGACTCCCATTCTCTTCGGATCGCAGTCGACCACCGGCATTTGGTTCCGCAAGGCCAGCTGCAACAAAGGTACCAGGGGCCAAGCATCCTGCATGGCCGGCCCGAGATGCGACACATGTGAGAGGGGACCAAGACTTGTCATCGGCCCAAGGGTGGCATCACAATATCTCCTTACCGGAACGCAAGTTCAAAGGCCAGGCAGTCGCAATCACCTCAGATGAGTCGGTTCTCTGTGACACTCTCCGGAGGTTGAACCTGGAGGATGCGAAACGGACAGCTTCCTTCGTTGACGACGATTCCAGCACTCCACCCCGTGAGCTGCGGTTGCCTGCGCAACATTTTGAAAGTGGAAGGCAACTTCAAAAGCGGATTCTGCCTGAGCTCCGCTGGCTCGCTTCCACATCTGCTTCGGCTGACATGGATCTTGACGAACTTGGTGACGGTCCACATGTGAAGTCACACCCAATTGTCACGCGTCTTTTCGCAGAACTGGTCGTAAGTCTTTGTGCCTATGATCGATCCACATGCGAAGGCATTTCGTGGACGCAAAAGTACACACCAAACAGTGCGGCCGAAGTGCTCCAGGCCGGCAAGGAGGCCTTCTACCTGAAAGAATGGCTAGAAGGTCTTCGAGTTCAAGCAGTCGAGACGGGAAGCAATGACTGTGGGAAAGTCCAGCCAAAGGGAGAAAGACCTGCAAAAAAGCGCCGGAAGAATAAGCTGGACGGCTTCATCGTTAATAGCGATGATGATGAGAACGACCTTGATGAGGTGTCGGAAGGCGAACCAGACTGGACGACGTCAGGCTCTGGCCGCCCCAAAACCGTCATGCGACGAGTCAAGAAGGAACAAGGCCGTTTGAACAACGCAATGGTGATCAGTGGCCCGCATGGGTGTGGCAAAACGGCAAGTGTCTATGCTGTTGCCAAAGAACTTGGGTACGAGATTTTCGAGATCAACTCAAGCACCCGTCGCAGTGGCAAAGACATTCTGGAAAGAGTGGGCGACATGACTAAGAACCATCTAGTCCATCGCCAACAAGACAGCGGAGCAGAGGAAGACAATGTTGAGGATCAGGTGGCCAAGGACCTCAAGTCAGGGAAGCAGGGCATGATGACAGCCTTCTTCAAGGCCAAGCCAGACGTGAAGGCTGCAAAGCCCAGGAAAGCGGCTAAAGAGACCGAACAGGTGCCAAAAACCGGTTCAAAATCGCAGAAACAGTCGCTCATCTTGGTGGAGGAAGCGGATATCCTCTATGAGGAGGACAAGCAGTTTTGGCAAACCCTCATGAGCCTCATGGTACAGTCGAAGCGGCCTTTTGTGGTGACGTGCAACGACGAGAGTGTCATACCACTACAGAGCCTAGCTTTGCACGGTATCTTAAGGTTCAGCATGCCACCCACGGAGCTTGCTGTCGATGTGTTGCTGCTGATAGCTGCCAATGAGGGCCACGCCCTGAAGAGACAAGCTGTCGAGCATCTGTACATGTCGCGAAAATACGACTTGCGAGCTACGATCACAGAGCTCAACTATTGGTGCCAGATTGGAGTTGGCGACCGTCGCGGAGGCTTCGACTGGTTCTACCAACGTTGGCCAAAGGGAATCGATGTTGACGAGCATGGCGATACGGTGCGCGTGATCAGCGAGAATACATACATGGACGCTATGGGGTGGTTGGCCAGGGACGCCTTGGCCACTCGTGGTCGTGCCTTGTCGAAAGAGGAGGAAGCTCTGCAGCAGTGCTGGGACTCGTGGCGCTTCGCAGCTGGGGACTGGCACGAGGCAAATGGCTCTAACCCGAGTGTCTTTCACCTGCCTCCCAAAGACCTGGACGCCTTTGGCAACTTTAGCGATGCGTTGAGCGCGGCGGATATATCCTCCACGGCCCTTGGCAGCGCTGCCCTCGACGGGAGCATTGATCCTGGCTTGCCGCCGATGCCCGACAAGGTCAAGGAAGACTTCATCATTGGCCGTCAGCTCATCGAGGCCGACACAGTGACTGATTACACAATCTTGAATGACGGGTTCGCAACCTCGCAGAAGTCCCTGGCTCGTCAGGTGCTCTATCGCCACATTACTAGCAGAGCACCAGACGAAGCACAAGCGTTGCGCCCGCTAGATGAGACAGGCACCACCCTGGCGCTCAAGAGATTCTTCTCGACAGTTTGCAACGACCTCACGCGTCTCGACCTGGCTTATGCCTTCGATCCCATCGCTGCCTCGGACGCCCATACAGCCACTTCGCATCTCGACCCGTCGGTCTTTGACAGAACAACGCACCTTATCGTGCTCGACGTTGCACCATGGGTCCGTAACATTGTTGCCTACGATCATGCACTGATGCAGGAGCGCAAAAAGTTAAGCAGTCTGCTTTCAGAGGGTGGCCAGTCCAAGCGGATGCGCAACACGAGGGCCGCCTACTCGGCGCTCGAGGGCGGCGATCGAAGGTCCACTCGTCGTGAGAAGTACTTTCAAGGCTCTCTTAACACCTTGTTTGTCCTCAAGACCGGCTCGGACTCGTGGACTCGAGCGGCCACAGAGCAGGTCTCTTACGCTGAGGCAGAGGCCGCGACACCGCCGAGCCCCACGTCGATGGATGTAGATGAGGAGTAACTAAGCTTAGTAATGAAAGCGATGTATTTTGACATTTTCTTTGCACGGCGATGCGGAATGCACATATGATCAACCCCGGCTTTGGCCATCCCTCTTCCACATTTGTACGGAGGCTCGTCCTGCCCAGCTTGTTCCCCGTTCCAGCGGTAATACCTCCGCACTTGATACGCCACGTTTCTGGTCTGACCCTGAATTTGCGTGCCCTTTTCATCTCGGTTTGGGCCCGTTGCCTCTTGTCTTTGGTACCCTCTGCTGACGGCGACGCTCCTGTTCCTTCTCTTCCTCATCCTGTGTGATCTCGGGCCCTGTCCATCCCGCCCCAAGAGGTCTCTGATCTATGGTATACATTGTCTCTCCCTTATCTCTGGGATGCTGAGGCGGAAAGTGTATGTAGCTCCTTTGTTCGCGATACGCCCTGTCCTGCAGGGGGGTAAGTCCTGGTCGAGCAGGGCTTGCCGTCCTTGACGGGAGTGAACGTTGATAGCGATGAGAAGAAGAGTTGTATTCGGGCATTGCACGACGACCCGAGGAGGACTTCTTCTCGAGATGGAGATTTTTGGCGATGAGGGCTCCCAAGAGTATTGTTGAGCTGAGGGGTCAGCAGCATTTATCGCCCCTCGTGATTATGATGCTTTGTAGGCATTTTAAACCCCTAGAATTGTAGTTTCAATGCATTTCCCATGTTTCAACAATAGCTCTGAGTCGACATAGTCTCCTTTCGTGGCATGCAATGTGTAATGGTGGGTTCTACGATGGTTGTATTTGATGTTGCGTATCGTGCGCGACAACCCCACTCTGTATTTCTCGAATGTGCAATTGTGTTCAAATGTATGCCACTTGGCTTGTGCGCTGTGCTTTGACCGGCTGGTTGCGCCGGCATTGTTACACGGTTGCGGGCGCGGCTCATGATACATTGCGGCCGTGGGAGAAGCCGGCGAGCTAGAAATCTCTTTGGTGAAGGTACCGTGATCTACATTCTTCGAGCGTCAAGTGAAACTGCATTTTCCGCCCAGCGAAACAAACATGCACAGCTTGTCACCGTAAGCTTGCTGCCTTTGTGGCTTGGTCAGCAGTCAGCTTGGAAGCTCTGCAGTAACATGCTGTCCGTCCATGGCAGTACCAGATCTCAAATAAATCATACGAATCATATATATTCGAATCCGAAGGGATTGTCTCACAAAACCTGGTCTGGGTGGTTCTGCGTTCCGACATTTGTGCTGTTGACTCCCCGTCCATCGGATATCCCAAGCCCCTTCATTCCATGGGCAACGCCGAGACGAACCAAGGGCAAGTACATGAGAAGCCGAGAAGAGAGGAAACATCCTCCGGCCAAGAAACATGGCCCGGAGATATCTTCGAGGAGAGCGGCTCAAGTGACATTGCACTCGAAGCGGACGCCGATGCCGGCACGCTGGTGGTGGTGATTGGACTACCATGCGTCTCGTGAGCATAAGCCAAGCGTACGCCCGGTTCTGCCGTGCAACACATGCTGCCTGATTGAATGGTTCGCACATGGCTGCCTTTAGGCTTTGGATGGTATGATCATTCCTCGTCGATCTCTGGCGCAAGACAGCACAACATCACACCACTCGTCCAAGGCTCCCTGAAAGGCTCCCGCATATTTGACCAATGCTACGACGACAATCCAGCCATGGCTTCGACAGGAGTGACTCTGGAGTTTCCTCAGGTGAACGTACATTTGCTTCGAAACTCGAGGCTCATGCTGCGTGGACTTCAACCGGGCATTGCTGCGAACGTCTTGCATCGCCTTACCGTTGATCGAAGTGAAGGTTCCTCCATGATCAAGGCCTCAGCCCCGCGGCAGGGTCCGATGAGCTGCTGCGGGTAGCGGCTCTAGCTTACGTATAGTGTAGTGGGGCGCGACATGACCGGCGTCTGCGAACCGCACCAGCAACTTGGGCCTGCTTATCAGAGTGCTCGCTGCGACGGAAGCTTCACCACGGCAGGCTAAGCAAGGGGTTCCTTGTGTGACGTCGGTGTGTATGGATAGGGCTGAACTTGTCGTGGGTGCCTCGATCCCTGGGTGCAGGGCAGCATGTAGATTGGCAAGTGACGACGAGCGCGATCCTCAAGGAACTGACTGCGAAGGTGGTGGGTGTTGCGAGGAAACATGGCGGGTGGCGCAATGATTAGGGGTAAGATTCCAGGCCTCAGCTAGCTCTGATGAGTGAGTGTCAGAGCCAATGGGAAGCAGTTATGTCACGAAAAGGTGGATCCGCCGGGTATAGAATCGCACTTCGAACAAGGGCCGCACCTCCCACGCGAAATTGACAGCCAATGATGATGTCACACTGACCCTTCACGAGAACCCTTGCGCAGCCCTCTTCGTCAGTTTGGCGAACAGGCAGAACCTCTCCAACATCATCGCCCTATCACCACGACGCACTGCTAGCCAAGGCCCATCACTGGGCCACCCAGACTTTGCGACGTGCGTCTGGGGCTCATGTACCGTACGTAGCTAATGCTAGGACTTTTCCCAGCATGCGCTCCAGTCGCTACATTTACAGGCGCCATGCCCTCCTTCGTTCGCCCTGAGATCGATGACAAGAGGAACCGGTTCGTGTCAACTGCTGAGCGCCCAGATCCAGATTTCCACTCCTCTATCCGTACTTCTAGTTGCTCGGCGCCCTCGTATACTGGTCGTATTTGACAAAATCTTTACAGCCGGCCACGTACCCTGCCATACTGCCGACACTAGCCAAGCGCTGACTCCTTCACACCTGGTCCTCTCATGATCATCTCGTGCTGACCTGTCCACATTCTCAAACATACCTTACCAACTACACCACACAACCGCATTTTCGAGCCCAACTTTGTAAGGTAACTGACGGAGCGCTCTGTACAATACTTGATATACCATACCACCACCCGTGATGAGTGGCGGACTCTCAGTCGAGCAGCACATCGGCGCAGTCGACGCCTTTGCGCGGACACTGGTCGTGCGCGCGCGCGACTCGCCATCCATCTCCGACGCTGTTCGCCAACTGCATACGGCTTTGCGCCACCTTCGCGTGGAAGCATCAGACCCTGACTCTCTCCTCGGCTCAGGCACATGGGATCACCAGATCAACGCTCTGATCGACGACTGCGGCGCTGCACTTCGCCAGCTGGAGGGTGCATTGGATGATGGGCGCCGAGGTGACCAGCTTGCTGGACGGGTTCGTCGCCTAAGGGACCGAGTCGATGATTTCCTCGACGGAGTGCAACTGCAGAGTCGGACAGCCGTCGCCCCCGTGAAATGCGACCCGTCTGGCCTGGAGACCATCAAGGACAAGGTCGACACCGTTGCTGAGCGAGTCTTTTCTCGACGACAGAATAGCTTTAGCAATGATGAGGACCAATTATGGCGCGAATTCAAGTCGGAACTGGAGAAGGAAGGCTTCTCGTCAGAAGTGCTCAAAAAGAACAAGGTACGCATCACTTCAGTCATCTTTGAACCTTTCCTGACGCCAGCAGGTCGTTCTTCGTGCCTACATTCGGGAGCTGGATGCTATGAGTTCACAGAGTGGCGGCCCCCGTCCTACTGTCCGAGGACTGCTTGAATACGAGGCTGAAGCTGCTCCCCCCAAAGAGAAGTATCCCGCCATCGAGAACGAGAAGTTTCCCACCGGCATGAAGCTCGCCCGGCGCATGCCAGCCGATGAGCCACCACCGCCGCTACCACCAAAGGAGCCCATTGCTGAACTGCAGTCCTCGCAGCCGCGTACCTCCACATCGTCAGACGACTCGCATCACGCCGACTCTGTCGACAGTACTGCTCTCATCTCCACCAAGGATCTTGTCGCCATGGACAGTCTCAACTCCGGCTTGGCTGGCATGCATCTATCCCCACAATCACAGGGAGCAAGCCCCTATGGCGCCTCGCCCGCCAACAGCACCCAGCGCTATCTCCCTGCCCCTTATGCCGGCACTCTTGGTGCACCTCGACCGCAGGACCTCGCCGAGCTGCAGGGGTCGCCCTCATCCGCCGTCCTTGGTTCATCGCCGCACCCGCCTTCAGACTACGGCACCAGTCCGCGCTCCGCGCCCGCGTTCCGCTTGGCTCCGGACCCTTATGGCAACGAGATACCCATGGATGCCCAGTGGACACGGATCAATCGTGGTCGCGTCAGTCCCGAGGTGCTCGAACGTGCCGGCGTGCGCTATGAGGCTCGTCCGGCCTACGTTGCCGTTCTCGGGCGGCTCACCCGGGAGCAGATTGAAGATTTTGCCAGACAGAGTGCCGATGTTCGTCGCGCGCGGCAACTGCGCCAATCCTCGCCACCCAAGAAGTACCGTGGCAGGCAGGACTCGAAGAGCAGCAGGGATGAGGAAGACGAGGATACTGATCTCTGGGACTCGAGCGACTCCACGGACATTGACGATGATAAGACGTCAGTTAGGGGCACCAGATCATACCCCTATATCGTCAACCCCCCAGAGAAGGAGAAGGGGTCCCCCTCTGCGACTGTGCAGCCCAAGTCGATTCTGAAGAACAAGAATGAACATCACGTCCGATTCGGCCCCGACCCGTACGAGGTCAAGTCCAAATCGCCACGGTCATTGAAGGATGGCCGAGACCGCGATCGCGATCGCGAGAGAAGAAGAAGATACTCTGACGATCGGTACCACGGCGACAAGCCCTCGAAGAGGTATTATGACGACAGAGATCGCGAGTACTCCGGCCGCAGGTCGCAGCGGAACAGGAGGGACGAGCCAAGAAGCAGAGATGACTATAGACACCGGGATCATCGCGACGACAGAGACGAGTACCGAGACCGCCACTCGAAAAAGAAAGCATGGGGCGAGGCTCTCGGCGCTGTCGGGATTGGTGGCGCGGCAGTGAGTCTGCTGAGTGTGCTGGCAGAGGCCGCTTCCAATGTTTGATCCAGCTGGACTTGGGGACTTGACTATATTTTTCATGTGGCAATTTTTCACGATTATGGTTGATGATGACGGATATGTGTTTTATGGATATATATGTACAGAGGCCCAGCTTTGTAGGATGGATGTATGGTCTAGATACCCAATGACGAATTTCGTTGCGTTCCTGTACCGCTCTATTCGTTCTACGTGTGATTTACAGTATCAACTGAGAGGCGATGCCGTTCCACCACTGTCGCCCTTCCCACGACAGCCCATGCTCAGGTCGATAAGGCGGTGGCTTGCCAGTCTCAGACATGCTCCTCTGTGTGTGCGCTCGTTCCGAGTGCAGGACTGCCATACTCGGATTCGTGGGCCATATAAAATCAGGATTCTCGTGCAAGATTCCCGTCGTTTCGTCTTTGATCTGCCGAGTTTGACCGAGCTCATCGGTGGACTTAGGGTGTACATGCGCGGCTGCTTGCTTGGTCATGAGGGTATGCCTCAGCGCAGGCTTGAAAAGCCTTGCTCCACCAATTTCATGGATCACGACGTATCCACTCCTTGTCCGATATTTGAGGTTGCGCGGGAAAAAGGCCGCAAATTCATAAAGGATGTTGGGGATCTCCACCGTCGTTATGGCTCCGTGTCGGTGCTCGCGGCGGTTGCTGGCCTGTTTGATGATCCTGTCCAGGAGGAAGCCTATGCGGTTATGGACGTAATCCTTGTCTGCTTCGCACTGCCTCCTGAGCCGAGTAGCCTTGGATATAGTCGTGCCGTTCTCGAGGGTCGGGTTAACAACGGCGTCACGCAGCATAATCTCATCAAGCATGGCAGTCTCTAGATCGTCCGATACCTTGCGGTAGTAGTCCATGGCTTCTTGCCTGACCATCTGCAGGGCTCGAGTGACCTCTTGGCTGTTGATGTAGCTGCGGATGCGCAGATCGAGATCCTCAAAGGAGGGTTGAATATTGTACGGCTCCGAAGTCATCATGTCAAATACAGCCCCGACGTCCTTGGCTTCGACTCTCTGGGTGTCTTTGCCAAACATCATAACGCGGCCTTTCTGGTTCGCGGCGTTTGCCGTGGTGTGTGTCCAGTTCAGCAAATTGGACCATACCTCAGGGTCAATAGGTATGCTGTACCGCTGCGAGAAGAAGTCGATGAGCTGCATGCCCAGCGGTATCTCGGACATTGTGCCGAAAGACTCAACCAAAGCGTTAAGAAGACGACCTGTTGGCCATCTGGGGTCATCCCGTTGCAATTCCTTGCCACCAGAGATCTCATGGGTACTTTGATCGACTCTCACGCCGTATTCTTTACGGAGGACAGTCTCCAGGACGGCTTGCATGTCGCTGGACTTGGCAAACCCGATCAGACAGGCACACACCAGCTCTTCGTCCATGTCGTTTGGATACGCCCTTGAACGATTGTAATGGGCCCAGAACGAGCGGTGGTCGTTGGTCTCCATGCCACCTCCGGATTGCAAGGTACCACCAGGCCGACGGAGATAGCGTCTATTGTCCTCGTCCGGCTGGTCCCGTCGTCTGTTCCAAGGGGAGATCTGCAGAGCATTCATGGACATGTGAATCCGGTCGATGGCCTTCACTGTGCTCTTCTCCTCTGCGCGTACATGTGAATGGCGAATCAGTTGCCGTGGCTCCATGAGCACCCGGGTCCGGTCAAACGAGTAATACGTCGGTTCCATCATGAAGCGCGTCTTTACAAATTCTGTCCACGTCTTTGTGGTACGCTGTGGCGCCAGCCCTGCCTCAAACATCGCGCCAAAGGTGGCATGCGCCATGCGCAGCTCAACGCCGGCGCCCACACAGCGCATGAAGACGACAAAGTCCTCTGGCCGGAGAGTGATGCTGTGCACGCGACACTGTTCCAAGATGGTGGCCATGCCTTCCATGACCTGTCGACTGTGGACCCGGACACCGAAATCATCGACGAATCTCGCTGCATCAGAATTCCGCGCCAAACCCTGAGATATACTGATGCCCCGCATCAAGTCATGCTCAGGATGAGCAATCGGATCCATGCCCCGCAAGATATCCGACAATGTCGACCGCGGCATGCTCATCAAGCTGTGCAGCGCAGCATCGTGCGCTGGGTCATCCTGGTCCCTAAGCGCCCTTGTCCATTGAAGGAACGCGAGGCTGATGACGGCAACATCGCGTTTTCGAATCGCCGTGAGCAATGTCTCGAGAAGAGGATCCGGGGAAGGGGAGAATTGACTCGCGTGTAGGGTCGAAGTCGAAGGAGGGTCCGCAATCGAGGCCAAGTGGCGCCGTCGCTCCGCTGCCCCATTTCTGCTCCATCGCCAGTGCGGGTCCCAGCGGGCTTCCAGTGTGGAGAGTTCGCGAGAGCAAAGCGAGGAGCTCAACCGCAAAGCTCGTCGTCGCAGCATTGTTTCGGCAGGGTCATCGGCGAAGAAGGCAGGGAAGAATGGCTGAGGAGGAAATGATAGCTTGGTGAAAATTGTCGCGTGTGGTTGCGGGTGGCACAGGCACAGCATCCCCCAAAGGGTCGCATCGGGCGGGTCGCCTGGAGTGGGGAGCACAATATGGGGTAAAGAACCGCTTAGGCGCATAAGGTCAGACAGCTCGCTAGATGCATATGTCCTTGAAGCGGCTTCTTCCTGATCCGAGGTTTTCCCGCCTGCTGGAGTCGCGGGTATTTTCGCATCACGTTCAATCCTCAGCCGCTCAGCGTTTCACGTGCCAGATCGCCCGAAAGTCACATTCACTCCTTCAGACTCAACCAAATTCACTTCGGAACCATGGCAGACGTCGGTGGTGATGACAACCATGTCTCAGAGCCCCTAGACCTGGTGCGACTTTTGCTGAACGAGGTTGTGTTCGTCAAGTTGAGGGGTGACAGAGAGCTCAAGGGCAAGCTACATGTGAGTGAGAGACACGCTGTGAGCGACTCTTTGATCCTGACCCGCGACAGGCATATGACAGCCATTGCAACTTGGTGCTGGGCGAGGTGGAAGAAACCATCTACGCCGTGGACGATGACGATGATGATGAAGAGATCAAGGTGAGACGCCACCCTGCCTCCGGCCCCATGTATCGCTGCTAACTCGGTGTAGACCGTGAGCCGAAAATCAGAGATGCTATTTGTGAGAGGTATGTTACATTGATCACTTCATGTATGCGACGACTGACTGGGACCAGGCGACAGTGTGGTCATGATCTCACCGGGGGTACCATTCTGAACGCTTGCACAATAGCTCTTGAGTTGAGGCAATTCATGCAGCACAACATCTTTCAAACGATTAGTTGAACGAGAGCTGCTAGGATGATCTGCGAAACGCCAATCCCAAGCGTGTACCCTGGAGGCAGTCGCGACGCATCCAGCATCGGAGCGCCTTGCCAAACCGGGAACTGCCTCATGGAGGTCGTGTCCAGGACTGAGACCGAGCGTCTCCTTGATTAGAGGCCTCGCGTCCATTATGGTGTGGCATAGTGAGCTAGCTACGATACATGCTTCATGAGGTTCCCACGAATGCGAACAGAATATGCCCAAAGTCGTCCGAATGATTGGTGTCCCACTGACACAGCGCTCTATCAGGAGGTATCCGGTATCAAATTTACGAGTGTCAAAACGGTGACTTTAGAATTGAAACCATCCTTGATAGACCACAGTTGTGAACGGAGATCAAGTAATTAGTCTACACCGTGGAACAGCTGCGAGCAATATGCGTCTAACCGATTTCGCTATCTGGCCCGTGCGCATCCATCTGCACCTTCCGTCTTGGCATCCACCTATCGATAAGCTGTCTGGCTCCTCCCCCATGACGCTCATCGACTTCACCCCACCACGATTCGCCGCCTAACAGACTCATTCTATGACTCCTCTCTATCGTGGTCAGCCTCACCTGATTTCTGCGGAAACTCAGTTGAGTCATCCGAGTACAGCTCATGTCGGCATATCAATACGCGGGCTGCATAAATTAAAGGGCGCTCTGTAGATCCCATCGTCTCGTGTAGCGCAACCCAATGATCACCCGAATACCACCGTATACATCAACCCAAAGCCGCCACCATGTCAAATAAGGAGAAATATCAGCCCAAAGATAACAAGCGGAAAGGGGAGACTGTGAGTATAGCGCACATGAACTGTAGCTGTTTCTAATAGTTCAGGCTTTGAGCGCATTCGCGGAATACGTCGAAGAGCAGCAGAACATCCGCTACCCTACCAAGGCCCCCGCGAAAGCTTCAGCCGGCACCGCGCATGACGCTGAAGACACCGAGCATCACGAAGAACTTGACGAGCTATTCGAGACCCTCGACTTAGAAGATGCCGCGCCGCGAGTTTCCTTGAAACAGCTCCTGCTCGCGACCGATGACGCATCAATACAGAAGCTCGAAAAGGTCGTCATCGAACGATTAGACGAAGGCTTCGGCGAGGCTGTATTCGAGCTGGGGTTTGAGGATAGTGGGGAGTCTATGGATTTAACGATAGAAGAGTGGAACGTGGCGTATAACCGACTAGACGAAACAGCACATCGAATACGGGCGAACTGTCAACTACTGATGACTAAACACGTTGGCGGGAACGTTGAGGCACCGAGCGTGGGCGATAATCCCGGCAAGGCCAAGGGCTGCAGCGGGAAGGTTCTGGTTCGGCAACAGCCAGGCGTGATTGAGGATGTGATTGAGACGCGGATAGCCGTGGTCGGCAACGGTAAGGCTGCGCTATATGGGAAAATGGCTCTATGAGATTGAGACTAACCTTTATCAGTTGATGCCGGCAAAAGCTCCATGCTGGGTGTCCTTGTAAAGGGCGACCTTGACGATGGTCGTGGAAAGGCGCGCGTGAACCTCTTTCGACACAAGCATGAGATCGAATCAGGGAGAACGAGCTCCGTGGGGATGGAGATCATGGGCTTCGACAGCAAAGGCAACATCATTACGAGTGATATTCCTGGTCGTAAGTGTGATAAGCTCTGCATATTTTTCCTAGCTGCTGACGTTTCCGCTGCAAAGGCAAGCTTTCATGGGAGGAGATAGGCAAGCGAAGCGCCAAGGTTATCACCTTTACCGACTTGGCCGGTCACGAAAAGTACCTTCGGACGACAGTGTTCGGCCTACTGTCAAGCAGCCCCAACTACTGTCTCCTGATGGTGGCAGCGAACAACGGCCTTGTGGGTATGAGCAAGGAGCATCTCGGTATCGCCCTGGCTCTCAACGTACCGGTCATGGTCGTTGTGACCAAGATCGATATCTGCCCGCCCAACATTCTCGAGGAGACAATCAGCCAGATCAACAAGATCATGAAGTCCCCAGGCGCGCGGAAGATACCCACGTTCATTAAGAACAGGGAGGATTGCATCAACACAGCCACGCAGTTTGTCAGCCAGAGGATCTGCCCCGTGTTCCTCGTCTCCAACGTGACAGGTGAGAACCTGGATCTGGTCCGCACTTTTCTCAACATCCTGCCGCATCACGGTCGGTACAACTCAGACGCCCCCTTTGAGTTTCAGGTCAACGACGTCTTCTCGGTGCCCTTCACGGGAACGGTGGTGTCAGGGATCGTGCGCTCCGGCGTTGCGCATGAAGGCGATAACATCCTTATCGGCCCGGATTCGCTCGGCAACTTCCTGGCCACCGCCATTCGCTCCATCGAGCGCAAGAGGATACGTGTTCCTGCCGTGTCCGCGGGTCAGTCCGCCTCCTTTGCGCTGAAGCGCGTCAAACGCAAGGAGGTCAGAAAGGGCATGGTCGTTCTACCAAAGACAGAGGGCCAGCCTGCCCCCAAAGTGCACCGCGAATTCATAGCAGAAGGTCAGTCTCCGTTTCGTTCCCCATTTCTTTTTTATCACTATGCTCATACCATGGCAGTCTTGATCTTGTCCCACGCCACGACCATCAAGACTCGCTATCAGGCCATGCTTCACGTGGGACCTGTCCAGCAGACGTGTGCTATCATCGACATTGATCGTGAACTCATTCGCACTGGCGACCGGGCCACCGTGGCTTTCCGATTCGTGCAAAGACCAGAGTACCTCGTCCCTGGCGACCGGCTACTCTTCCGCGAAGGCAGGACAAAGGGGCTAGGAATTGTGAAGCAGGTTGGGTATGACCCTTCGAAACCCTTGAGGGGGAAGCCCGGTGAGACAGGAGGCGGGGGAGAACCGTCGGGCGGAGGGAGGGCCGTCGAGGTAGGAGCATGATAAGTGCTGGGGTAATGGCAGTCAGTCTTCTCAGCGTGGACGAGCATTTGGATTGGTATATTGATGTTTTCATGTACATGTTTCAGCGGCTTTTGCCCGCCTTATGTTTCCCCTGTGTATCCTCGCTACCGGAATCATGCCCGCAGGTAAATTGTTGTTGACAGTGCTTCAGACCCTTCGAGCACTTGCGTGGAGTCCTAGAGCCGCAGCATGCGCACTACGCGTCGTTCGCAAGCTAGGCCTAACCGAGGGTCCAATCGTGGTCTGGACCCGGATCACATTTCAACATTCACCACCTCCTCGGCCGAGGTCCCAATGTCATGGGACCCAAGCCTCCGGGGCGTGAGGAGGCGTCCGGTTCTGTCTCCGCGTCCTCCGTAGTGGCTGCTTGGCGTCAGGCCATGTGGTCTCCCTGTGCGAATAAGGTTTATGTACATGACCGCGCGTCTTGTTGCTCTCCAAAGTCAAAACTGCGGCACGAGAAAGTGGCACGGGAGCATTGCGCAAGAGACACATGTAAGAATTTGACTTTGGAAGTCACTCAGTCGGTACCAGCAAGCCCACCTTGTGGGGCAATGCATTCTATATACGCATTCTCGTATTGACATCAGATCCAACGTAGGTACACCGTAGCCCCTATATCCAAAAGACGACAAAGCGTCCACCGGCCAGACGACAGTAAACGCCCGCAAAGTGCCCTTTTCGAACATCCATGCGCCAAAGTCCGTTGCGCCGTGTGGTCCATATCAGACCGGAATATATAACTGCAAAAATGACAATAAATAAAGGAGATTCGTGATATGCATGGTGAATTTAGACAGCATGCGCTGCTTGTCTCTGCTGACTTGTGACAACATTGTCCATGTTGAGTGATATTGTCGGACGTTGGATTTCCATGCTGCGACTCGGCATCCGGCCGCCCGGTGTCCGTGGGTTAGCAACGTTCACGCGTCCGGACCGCTCGAGGATGCGAGCGGGACCATCATCAGAGCCAGAGTCGGAGTCGTCTTCGGGGAACCCATAATCCGCAAGGCGGTTGAAGTAGTCTGCCAGCCCATCTACGCTCGGTGTGCCAACCACAACATCGTACTGTGGCGGCGGGGTTGCAGTGGGGCGGCTAGTTGCCGTACCAATGTTCTGCGTGGCGATTTCTCGCGCTGGGGGTGGCGCGAAATCATCGTCGAACGCCGGGGGGTTGAAACTAGGAGCGCGCAACAGGTGAATGGGTCGAGGCTCGTTCGACGAAGTCTCGCTGGCCGGGTTCATCGGGCTCGAGTCGTGGAGATGCGCAGCCTGGGGCAAAGCAGGCATTGTCTCGCCGGACATGCGATTCAGTGTGCCTGTTGAAGAGTTGGGCGAAGGATCGGATGAGACAAAGCGAGAATCCGGACATCCACAGGAACGCACGGTTTGCCCCTCAGATATGTTGCCATATGCGGGCAGGACCGTGTTGGCCTGTGTAGCCCTGCAGTTGAGTACTGTGAAGGGCGAGTCGATGCTAATCTCAAAGTGACGACGCTTTGTGCCCGTTGGATCTTCAGGATCCACCCGGCTGATGCGCATGACAATCTGAAATAGGACGTTAGCGCACGCATCACCAAAAAACGTAACATTTCGCTCACCTTGATCCAATGGTAGACATGGACGTTCTTCCAACTGACGTCTGGATGCAGCCTTTGGTCCTTGTTCTTTGCCATCATCTCGCAGGTAGGGATCTGGACATTCGCTTCAATCTCGGTAGCACCCCACATGGACTCAAGGCCGAGATCCAGATCACCAAGTAGGTTCTCTCCTGAATCAGGGAGCGGCTGCGGTTGCTCCTGCCGCCGGTGGGCCTCCTGAGCTCGCCGTTGGGCAGCTTGGTCCCGGGCCTGACGACGCTGCTCCTGGCTCAACTCGCCTCCGCGGACGGTCCGCAGATCTGATGATGCCCAGGTGTCGTCCAGTGGCTTGCCGGCTGCCTTCTCGAGCAACAGAATCTTGCGTCCGGGATCTTTCCGAGTGACTCGTCGGTCCTGGGTCCAGTATTCGCATGACTCTGTCACATAGACTTTGAGTTTGTGAACTTGTACTTTGGCGAGAGGCGTCAACTTGAAGGCAATCGGAATTTTACCTCCAATGGGAAAACTCTTCCCCGAGATAATAATGTCGTAGTGGAGCTGATCTTCCCATTGCCGACTTATGGAAATGGGCTCCGTCATCTCTAGCGACATTTGGTCGGGCACTCGAACAACGCAGACCTCCTTGTTGCCGTGCAAGTTGGGTTTGAAAGCCCCTGCGCGGTCCACCGTAGCCTGTAGCTCCCATTTGACAGAGCCGTACTGCAGTTTGATTGTTTCCAGCTGATGATGGTCGATGGGCAGCTCAAACGAGTATGCGTACACGCCAGGATAAAAGACTTTGAAGCCCTTGGCCGCTGCGGATGGTGTGCCTGGCCCACTGTCACCCTTGCCAAAACTGCGTGACTGCGCATTCTGCAGTGAGAGGCGTTTCAAATCTCTTGCCGACAGATGTCTCTGCTGCCCGGACTGTGACCGGTTGTGTCCGACAAGATACGGGGCGCTAGGTTGATCTTTGAAATTGTAGGTGCAAGAATTGCCATACTCCGTTTCCCAGACGTCGTTTGTGACATTGAAAAAGGTGAGAACCTGAGTCCGCAGGCTCGTCTCCTCAAAGGTCTCTTGCTTTGTCGGCGGGATGCCCTCTGGCCATTCCGTCCGCGCACGCCCTACCAGCTTCAGCTGGATCGCCTTGATCTTGACATTCTTGGAAACGTTGAGCTGCAGCTTGCCTCTTAATAGCGCAGTGCCTGCTTGGCCTGTGCCTCGTGATTGGCCGTCGTGATCGAAACCATTGAGGAAAATGTTGGGCTCCGCAAGCAAGATCGAGCAAGCCACGCCACTCCCTGACGCCACGGGCTTCGGCACCTCACTGACGAGGGAGCTGATGGCCGACTTGTTCGCTGTTCGACTGGACATCATGCTGAATCTACGACGATCTGATGTGTTGGTATTGGCCCGTACTCGCGGTTGGACCCGCGGTGTGGGGGTCGGGAAGTCGGCGGCGGCGCGAGACACTGTGTCGGTCGTGGGGTTGATTGCGCAGGCTGCGGGCGGAGCGTCCGTCGTCGCAATCGATGAGGGCTCTTGCGTGGCCGCTGTGGTGTTCCTGCTGGGCGCGTGACCTACGGAGGTTGAATGCAAGTCGGCGTCCGCTGATTGGCGGCGTGGGGACTCGAGTCCTTGGCGGGTGAGGTCAGAGTCTGGGGTTGATGAGGAGGAGGAGGACGAGATCCCTGCCGGGAGAGAGGAGACGCTGGCGCTGTTGGAACTCAATTGAGAGTTGTTTGTGGTCGTCGAGCCACGACGTCGAGTTGGTTCCGAAGGCTCGCGAATTCGTTGCGCCGTCGAGGGATTGTATAAAGACCCCAGAAATTTACTGAGCGCGGGACGAATGGGGGATCTGTCAGCGTGGCGCGGCGCAGGGTCGGACACCACTGGTTGAGAAGAGGCGGCCGAGTGGCTGATTCGTCGATGGGCTCTGGCGGTTCGAACCTTGATCTTGCGAGCGCGCGTCGACGACGGAGACTGGGCCCTAGACCTCAATTCGTGAGGGACGTAGCCCGGGGGATATGTGACAATGTGGATGGCGTGAGGACGTGAGCGTCGAGGCTCGATGAGGGGTCGCGGGAACCGGGCGGCGTTGTTGGCGTTTCCCTGGTTCCTGTTGCTGCCCTTTTTCTTGCTGCCGTCGACGCGGGGACGGTAGTAGATGTTGCCCGAATTCGAGGTAATCCACGTGGAATTGTTATTGCTGGTTGGGCGTCGTAAAGGCTCCAGGGTCGCTGGCATAGTGTTATTATCGAGTGCGTGGAAAGCGATTTCTAATTCGCATGTGCATGCACTCTGGTGATCGGCAACGAGATGGTAATTAGGACTTTAATGACGCGGGGAGGAGCGAGCAGATGAAAGTCCCCATTGCACACTTTGCAGCCGCCAATGTGGGAAGAAAGGGTAATGACAGACGAAAGGAAGCCCGAGCTAGATATGCGAGAGAGTAGAGTGAGGATGGAAGAGGTCGTGCTGGAGGTGAAGAAGTGGTGGTGGTGGTGGAATGACTGGACTCGACTGACAATTGGGGGCAAGAGGGCACTGGCTGGACCTTGGGGTCATGTCGCTACTGTCACTGAGGTGAGAGACTCATGGACATGGCATTGTCCCATGTGCGGCCGTAATGTCGAGCGCAGGACTGGATAATTGCCGACGTTACTTGGGCCCCCGTGGGCCTGTTTTGCTGCATCTGAATTCCTGCGCCAGTCATTGCTGCCCTGATCTCATCTCCAGATGGGCAGCCCGATCGGCGGTGCGCCACTTGACACGCCAGCGATTGCAGGTTGGAACTTGGGGGTGCCTGGCCGCGAGTCCAGTCTCCAGTCCATAGTGGGGTGCGCAGCAGGGACTAGCAGGCCTGCTCAGGCCGCAAGCCGCTGTGCTCGGCCTCGCTGGCACCTGTTGTCGCCCTGCTGGTTGTGCTAGCGGGTGGGGGGATTGAATGACAGGGCCCCGGCCAACGGAGGTGGTGATGTCAGCGTAAAGTACCGGGCTGATGCTTGCTTTGCGCTCGCAAATCCCAGCGTCCTCACTCATCGACTCAATGCGCAGCCAGAGCACCGCGCTATTTTGCGATCCAAGGCACGAGGAATGCTGTGCCTGCCTCTGCATAGATTGCCCACGCCAGCATAGCGAAGACATTCGGCCAGCGCGAGACAACAGTCAACGGATAGTCGGTTCCCGTCTATTCTTGGCCGTTTGCATCATGGTGAGATGCTGGCTGGGTGGGAAAAACGGAAATGGAGATGCCGAACTTGCCTGTACGTACAACACAGAGCGCTGCGGATCGAGAACAAAAGGGCGGTCGTCTATAGGTCGGTAGGTACCTTTGATCAGCGCCGAATGCCGCGAGTTGACAAGAGACGAGCGAAGTGAGTGGAAGGAGGTAACTTCTACTATCAATGACAGTCTCTACTCGTAGCGGAATGTCGTCGACGACTCTGCGCCTCGGCGTCGACCGAAGAATGCCGTCGAGAATTTTCCTGGGGCTCAGACCTTGAGCAGGAGGGGAGACTGGAGGCGGACACCGGCCAAGATGCATGCAATCCTCTCCTGGGGGCTATGTACTATAGGATGACAACCACTTGACCCCAACTTGCGCAGGATGCACGTTGTGGGATCTTGTCGTCTAGCGCTGGTGCGGCACGACTACGTAATGCGGGACGATGAGCATCGGCAGTTCCTCTTCCAGAAACTCGACGCATTCTTCGTGCGGTGGCTCACGGGTGTCTAAAGGGGACTAGTCAGGGCGACTAGTATTTATACAGCAAATTTATGTGTGAGCGAAGACAGACTGCTAGTCCCATCGCCTTCCCATCGCCCTCGTAAGATCAATTGCAAAAGAAGAAGGCCTTTCCTGTTACAGATCTATTCGCGACTGGGAAAGTCAATTAGCATCCTGCTCCTGCGACACGGCACAACCACAACCACAACCACACCCACACCCACTGCCTCTCACCTGACAGGAACGGGACCCCAAGAGCGGGGTTTTCCCTTTGCACGCAGCATGATTCCCCGATGGCACCAGAGATGAATCGTCGCCCCGACGAAGAAAGCAGGGCACTCACTATCTTGCTACGAATCTGACCACTCGGCGACCTCCGCTTGGCGACTGTAATGAGCGGGTCAGGTTGGGTCTGTGCGTGAAGTATTGATGGCGATGTGGTCGGATTACACAAATATGACAATCATAAACTCGAGGACGACTTGCTGCAATTTTGACCAATCTGACTTTTTCGGTTGTGAGACGAGGTGAGTAGTGTCCGTGCTTCGTCAATGTTGGGCGTGGGAGCCTGATTCCTGCGACAGGCTGAATGTCACGGATCTTTCCTACATACGCAGTCGACGTTTCACGTCGCACCGCCGGTATCTGCAGGTCGACGCGTACGTACCTCGAAACATCTACGTACAGAACTAGTAGTATTAGTTTTACCCGATTGTCGTCTGCGACTATCAGTGTACTTCAAGCCGAAAGCCACGCTTCTCGGTCGAGGGAGCCCGGATCTGCCTGCGCCGCTGAGGTCATTAGACTTTGACGTGGTCATGTGGGAGCCAAGAATTCACTTGCGTCGTAATGCCTTGGGAATGAAAGTCACTCGATCAATGTTACGAGGCAGTGTGGGCGAAACGGCGAAAGCAAATCTTTTCATCCGAGCATGCCGGCGGAAGGGTCTTTGGAATCAAATTAACACGTACTAGTTAGGTTGAGTAGTCAATCCCGGGAGCGCCCCGCCCAGCGCTCCGGCATCTCGGGATATATGGGACCTCCGAAGCCGGCCCGCCGGCCGACTGCTCGCTTTGCTGTGGAAAAGTGGCAAGTATTGATTGTGGCTGCCGCTCAAGGCTGTCACGATGATCAAGTGATGAAATCAGGATTGTGGACATGTATCTTGGCGGCTTTGCCTATTTCCGGGTCCTGATAGGCCATTGAAGGGCCAAGTCATTTCAACGAAGGGACATCCAAGAATAGATGATTTTATTGTGTTGATCCATTGTGGCCCGCCGCCGGATCCAATGAGAGGGCACTTTGAATCAAACGGGACTTCATTTATTGAACCAAGGTATTGGAAACGAGTGTGCGCGGTTCTTTTCATTCACCAGCTGTACCACGTTGTTTGTTCGACAGCCAGCATGCAGAGAAACAGGATAAGTATAGGGTAGGTTAGTTCCTTCTAGCCATCTAGCGGAACAACCCCACATCACCCCACCACCGGATTATCTTTGCTGCCGCACAGCTCCAATCTTTTTCCAGGACCCACCAAAAAGTTTCGCAGACACGCACGACGAGAATCGGTCTCGCTGTGCTGCCATCACGACCGTCGCGACGAGCAGAAGCCCCTTCGCACTGCCACTTTGAGCTTCCTACGCCTCGTCAATATGGCCTCCGAATACAGGATACACAAGCCATATGTGCTGTCGACCCTACCCCGACCGCTGGGCCACACAGACAGCAGGATCGTCGCAAAGGAAGTCTACGGCCAGAGAGATGGGTTGAGGAAGAAGAGGACGGAATTGGCTGTCGGCATTGATGGTGAGACGGCGAGCATATACGACGTAGGATGTTCTTTCTTCAGGTGACGGAGCGCAATGGCTGACACGAGTAGATCCCTGGGTCGCGATTGATCACTTCCTATCCCATCCCCCCACAAGAATCATTCACCTGCCCGCCGCACTCCATACGCATTCGACGCACCGGCAGCAGCGATGTCTCTCGTTACACATACATCGCGACAAAGGATGGCGCCTCGTACAAAATCACGCTGTTCAAGGATGTGGTCCACAGCGATGGCAAGACGACATCGACAACCGAGACCAAGGCCCTGCGAAAGTCACCGGTGCTGTACGTCACAACCTCGGGACCTAACGCCACGAGCGCCGTGGGTAATGTCATTGCGGTGTGTGAAAATGGCGACGTCTTCAGCTTGAGGGAGAACCTCGCCCTGTTGTGGAGCTCCTCGGCCAAGTCTGTCGTGGACGACGTCTCCTCCGCCGCCGTCTCGGGATTCGAGGTGGACTTTGCCATTTCGGGCACGGTGGCTGAGTTCAGTGACGGCATGTTCAAGAGTCGACCTGAAGTGTACACGTCCCTACCCAAGTCCGCGGGCGCGGAGCCCGTGCTCCTCGCGCTCGTGTCTAAGAGCGCGACGGGCGGCACCGAGGGTCGACACCTGCTGGTCCTTGCCGTGGGCACTGGCGAGTCGTCGGCCGATGCCCAAAGGCTGACTCCTCTGGATGTTGCGCCCTTTACAGCGCCCGCGGGGGTTGGCCGCCCCAAGTACCATTTTGAGGTACAGTCCGGGACGCTTCTCCAACTCCAAGACGGCGCGTTGACCGTCTTTGACCTTACTGGTGATGTGCCCAAGGTCAAGTCTATCATTCAGATGGAGGAGGCCACAACCTTCACCAGGCTCTCCCGCCCGTTTGTTCTCGCCATGTCCGCCGACTCGATCGGTCTGTACAACTACCAGTACCGCTCGGTTCACGCCATGTCACAGCTTGACCTGTCCGACCTCCCGGCCGAAAGCCAGCAGGCGCAGTCTTTTGAGCTGATCAGCTACCTCCGGAGCCAGGATACGGCTGTCGCACTGGTTGACAACACCCTCGTCTGCATCCACATTGAGCCACCCAAGAGCAACGGGCGGAGGCGCAAGGCCGGTCTGCTCATCGACTCCATCGGGCGCGGCACTGCCGTTGAGATCCCAGCAAAACGGGCCAGGACTGAGCGGCCGGCTCCTGAATTTTCCCACACGCTTCCCGGCACCATCACCGAAGAATACCTCCGCAAGCACCACGCCGAGGAGAAGGAGGCCGATCAGCTCTTGAACAACGACGCCATTGCCGAGTGGGAAGCCAAGCTACGCGGCAAGTTTGGCGTGGACAAGGTCGTCGACGGAGCCCCCAACGGATTCCAAGCGACTGGTAACCAGGTTGATGATGAAGTGCCGGCGTGGGAGTGGTGCATGGAGCCAACCGCCTACCCAGCCGTCGACCGTCGCTGGGTTCTCTACGGCATCACCAGAGTCTTCACAGTGGACGTGGGCGAGGGCTCGGAAGATGATCGGCTTCGTCTCCGGCTCCTCCAGCCCGACAGCAACGTGATGGCCTACCTTGCCGTAGCGGGCCATCTGACCATGACCAATCTGCACGCGGCCTTCAGGGAGGAGATGGAGAATGCGGCAAGGAAACGATCCTTTGCCAGCGACCTCATCCAGTGCCTCACGGAGGCGGACCCATCCCTGACGCTCCTCCTCAACTACCTACGCGCGACGAAGCTCGGCGAAGTCGAGGTTCTCCTCGCCATCCGCGCCATCATGTCGAGCATGGATCTCATCACCACCGCGGGCGACGTACCCAAGAAGCAGCTCACCGCCAGCGCGCACGCCGAAGGCCAAGAGGACATGGACCTCGACGACCTGGAGCGCGAGATTGCCGTGACGGAGCACTACCTGGGCGACGAGAGCAGCACGCGATCGAGGGGTCTCACCCTGGCTTTCACCAAACTATGGCGCCTGCCCTCGCGCACAACCGTCAAGGCCCTCGCCACGGCCCTCCAGACCGAGGAGATCCTTGCCCTCATCCACCTCCTGCGCATTGAACTGGTCCGCGGCGCCTGGACATCGCTCTACATCGACCCACCGTCCTTTGACGCCGAGGGGAACGAGCCGCCCCCGGACGGTGTGATCGCGCTCATCTCCGACCTCCTCGGCCGCTGCCTCGACGCCATCGGCTCCGGGGGCTGGCTGCTCAACGACGCCCTCGACACGGCCACGGAGACGGGGGACATTCTCGCGGCGCTCAAGCTCGAGGTCGCCGCCGCCCTCGACGGCATGGAGGAGGCCGTCTTTCTAAATGGCGCCCTCGGGGAGGTTGTCCGCTACGGGCGCGCCGCCGGCGCCGCCGCGTCGGGCACCAGGACGATCAACGCCAACAAGCCCATCACCGTCGCCGTCGAGAGCAAGGAGGGCCGGATGCTGCCGCTAGGGCTCAAGGCCAAGACGCTCCCCAAGAGGGAGAAGGTGGTCAGTGGAGGTGAGGTGGTGATGAGGAGCAGCCGCGAGACGGGCCATCTCATCAGTCAGAAGGTGGAGGCATACTCGCTGGAAAAGCTAGCCATCTAGATATTTTTGTCTATGCGTAATATGTTGCAAATACCCAGCACGACGGCCACCCCCAAGCTTTGCACACCGGCAGCACGAGTCCGATCATATCCAGCAGTAGGCATCGCATTTGCAGCGGCATTGTGCGTGATTCCAACGCTCGATCGTTGCTGACTACATAATCACAGTCTTGGCTCCCCATCTCGGTCATAGCGTGCCTAGTAGACGGGTGATAATTCTGACAGGCAGACCAAGGAGGTTAGAATGGGGGCACATGTTGAGAGTCTTGCTCCTCTAATTAGCAAGTATTTCCACGCACCGCCCTCACGAACCTGCGACGCCTTCTGGATCAGTGGATTGTCACCACCCCTCACCAACATCCTCGTCCATATCGTGTCGTGTCATTATCATGACCACCCCACCACCCACGGGCCGTGTGCGTCGAATGAGATCGAAAAATCATCATTCCATCAGCATTCCGGCGGATACGGAATATGTGTCCGCCACCGCCCTCAAAAAAAGCTTCACTGTCGTCGTCGAGAGCGGCGACGTCCATGGTGGACGACAACGAGACGGGTCCAGCGGCCGGTCCGAGGGTGCCGGGGCCGAGAATGCTTCCTCCCAGTCGAGACTCGACGCAGCTCCGGGGACCGCCGAAAAGATATGATGGATCTCTTAAAAACGTCGAATGCGATCTTGACTCGGGAAGCTTCAGCTACGAGGCTACAGAGGGACGCTGAGAGGGAAACTTTGTTTCTTCACCCATATTCATTCCACAGCCCCCAGCCCCTCACAGCGTCAACAGCGGCCAGTGACAGAGTTGACGAAATGGGGACGTCTGAGATGCGCCAGTGTGCCGCGCTGTTGATGAGCCATAAAGAAATGAACAATGTGACGGTGAGACAATGGCAGTACGCGTCCCAAGTTAGGCACGGCTGTCGCTGAAGGCTTGCATGGTCTGGCTCGGAAGCCTGCGTATCACCGATTCTGACTTTGTGATAGAGAACGCTCAAATCAAGGAACCAGAATATGTCTCAGGCCGGAGGGTGTGTGGTCGAGGGTGATTCCGGTCTCGAATGGCGCAAAGTGTGACTCTAATGAGGCTAGTGCACAGCCTGAGCATTTGCGCTGTGCCAAGCATGTTGAAGCCGAAATCGATGGTCAACAAACGGACATGGACATGGATATACGTACGCACACGCTGACTGCAGTCTGCAGATAGCTGACCAACTGACTAATAGTGCACATACACCCTCTGTCCGCGGCCCCGAGCACTCAAAAGAGGATGCGGCCTGGGATAGATGCTTTTGCTTGCGTTGATACGTGCGTTGGTCGGAATGTGAAAACTGGAGTCGCTACCGGGAAGTCGCGAGACCAAGAGAACGACTGTAGAGTCCACAACCTTGCTGTCTATCTGTCCGCGTCCATTGACTCCATCGCGACATGGGCAAGGACGAGAATGGCGGTCGGCGGCATTGCGTATGAGTGAGTTCATCGCCAGTTGCTGTTGTATTAATTTGTGGTACGCTGTATCCAACCGCAGCTGACCTGAAAACATTGATCATGCGCAGATCCGTCCGAGTCCAGCCCCCACCACGTCTGGTCCGTCACGGGCGTGTCCAGTCAGTCGCTGGTGGTGGCTCGACAGGCCAGCGTCAACATTGTCAAGCAACAAGCTTGCCTTTGTCCAGTCTCCAGTCGTCAGTGCGGCCATGAAGGCCTGCCGCTGTGCTTGCTGCTACTGCAGTCTGTGCCATGCCATAGTACGTATACATAATGAGTACTTTTGATCGAGTGGTCGGCGCTGGGTAGACGATGTAGACATTGTGTCGAGTTTAGTACGTACCTAGTATAGCCAGACTACGGGCTGTGAATCGACGAATGAGAGAAGCGCGAAGATGGTCAATAATCATGGATACTTAGCTTGTTGATTGAACCGGCTGAAACGTGTCCGTACAATGGTCGTGATGGCGGTGCATTAGTATCGAGTCATGTGGGGCCAAAAGAAGTACGGCTCGATTCGTACTTCGTCCTAGATATCATAGGTATTATTAGGAGTAGTATTATAGCACAGATCGTGTGCTTTACGAGAGCATGTACAAGGCATTGCAATTTCTGGAGCCTACGTTACCAGCAATACCGGCGGTGAGTGATAGCTGCAATCCAACCAATGGAAAGGGACAGGAGCACCTGCCGATTATTGCCTGTACGTACGTGCTTGAAAAGGAAAGTGCAACCTTCAGCTAACGAATGACTCGCCTGTCTGTCTAGAGGTACCTTACTTAGGTAGATGAGTACTTTTTGCACACACGCACTCTCCAGTACCCGCCCAAGCAGCGTCACGGTGATACGACGATGAATCCGAAAAGCAGTACGAATACCTATCACCCCCGACCCGCCCACGGTACTAGAGACTCACTCAACACATACAATTTCACACCTGCTGGCACAGCAGACCGGGATTCCTGCTCAAGGTATTGAGACGCCCATGAATAGGAATAGCTCGGTTCACCTTTTGCCTCAGTTTCAGCGAGACATGAAGCGAACATGTTCGTGCGTATCCGTACGGTACCTTTATGATTATTATTATGTAGGATGCGTCAGACACCCGGTCCGTTGCTATCCCTTTGGCATCCATGTCCTCTGCGAGGTATACTTATACGGTGCACAGCCCGAGATCCATCCTGTACTTATTACTCCTCCCACTAATGAATAATTACTTTTTAGCACCACGCGCGGCGCCAGTTGTCCGCTGACAACTAGTCAACTTGGCGGAGCAGCCGTAACCCAAGGCACGTTGGATCACCATATTAATTACATGACGGCAGTCCGTTTCCAAATCCAGTCGCTAAGGACAGGCAGGGACTACCTGCTGTCCCATCGGCCGCAGTCACCAAACCTTGACGACACGCCTCTTGGGTCCTTGACCAGAAGCAGGCGCATCGGAATGCGGGATGCGTGCCAACAGCAAACTGCGCACTGCGATGGAAGCTAAACCAGGTAAGGACCGTACGGTAGCCCACCGCCCACAATGATTCGTACGACCCTGCAAATATGCAACCACTTTAGCTCGGGCTCCTGGCTGGACCAGGGGGGCAAGCGGGCCCGACATTCTCGCCAGCCGTCGTTCATGTCTCTTGTGCGCCAGCCAGGCTCCGCTTCTTCTGTTCGAGACGTCTTCTCATCACGAGCTGGGTTCACATCGCCCCTTCATCGACAAGCGGCGAGGCGCAAAGATCGTCGCTCACAGTGGTCAGCACCTTCGCAACCCCGCCTCCCGCCAGACCAGCAGCAGCGGGCCAACGAGCAAGACACGGCACGCACAATTCAAGGACCGCAAGACAGGTGATAATGGGTTCTCCAGCGTATTGGCGACTGCCTATTTTTTAGCACCAGAAGGCTCACGGAAACGATTACACGGTGATCGGCCTTGAAGTTTGGTGATTAATTTGCCATTAGTCTGACACTGTACCTGCGGGGGCTTGTTTGACGCGGGCTCCTCATATGGCGCATGCAGGGGTCATTGATTCATTCGCGGTCCATGGATCATGATGGATGAGAAATTGAGAATGAGGGTGGTCTCCTCTTTACTCTTCATGCGTGACAATACTACGCAATTTTTGACGAATTGTTACGGGGTAATTACGGATACCACTACTCCGTACTCCGTATTCACGGACTAGTCGCAGAACTTGGTCCGGAGTTGGATCGCCCCCAGATGACGAAGGTCAGGGAATCTCATCCTTTAATGATGAGACAAGCACCAATCTCCTCTCTCCTGTCTTTCTCAGTACACAGAGGTGAGTGAGCAGTGTGTGAGTTGAACTCAGCAAGTCCTCCTGTGTTGTTCAGACGACAGCCGACTCGTCATTTGCTCCTCACCACACATCTGCTGAGATGGCCTAGGCTCCGATGCAAGCCACTGCCTACTGGCCATATGCGCCCAGTGCAAACAAGGGATAGTAAGCGACTGGAGAGGAAAAGCGAGAAAAAAAGCATCCTGTGGAGCCCGCCTCAGTCTGTGCAACTGCATATACGTGTACGTATTTGCTTTTCGATGGGGCCATGCGGCTTCTGCAGGGAATTGGACGGTTTCATGCCTCCATCAAACCGCATGCCTATCAACAACAACAAGTCAGCTCAACCATGACGATCTCTGTTCCAGCAGCAACAGGCGGCGGCAAGGTTCCAAGCCGCCACCCAACAAGCCTCGCCTTGGACAAAGGGAGGGCGAGACGCGAGGCTTGGCTCCCTGTGCTTGCCGACAGACGGCCGCCATCCATTGCGCAGCGCAACGCAACAAAGCAGTGGCGTGTGCGTGTGTTTTCTGCTCAACATCACTTCGGACCAGACCGACCATGTGAAAAGACAAGCTGCTCCTCGTGACGGATTTGGGTCTAACCCGCATGATCTCTAGGCTGAGCTGAGCTCTGGTCCCTGTAGTTGGAACCGCCCCCCCGGCATGGTAGGCACCGCTCAGTATAGCTGGGTCACCGGCCCCATAGACCCATCCCACAGGGCTCCGTAGCGGGCTTGCAGCCACTAATACGAACGACAACAGGTCAAGTTGTAGTGGGGCAGACTTCTGCATCGTCTTTTGCGAATCTCCGTCGCTGCTTTCAGTTGCTTGACATAGGGAGCACAGATAGTACTGTAATAGCATTTCATGACCATGAAGCTCAGACTAATGATGGCACGTACCCTGCGTTTGCCAGCCGGCGGGTCCGTACGTCGACTGGAGGGTGATTGGAGGGCAACATTGAGGTGAGCCAAATGTGCCGGTTTAACTACATGTACGTACTCACGTTAGTGCAGCGTGACTACCCCCGCCCGCTGCTCCAGTCGTCAGCCACTATGGTCATCGGCTTGAGAGTTGAGACCGGACGGGCTGGACTGGGTCAGGCCTACCTGGCACTTTGCACTGCGCTACGGGCCAGGCAGGGCAACCACCAGCCAGCAGCCTGGCACGATTGACCACCACTACCACCGCTGGCCGGCGGCTCCATCCATTCATTCATTGA